CCATCTTCCAACTCCCTGAATCCTGTTCCTTTATTGTACTTTCTCCTAACTAAAGTCTTCTCATTCTCTTCCCCTCTCAGTAACCCACTTCATTCTTAGTGACATTATCACCATCTTCTAACTTCCTGAATCCTGTTCCTTTATTGTACATTCTCCTAACTAAAGTCTTCTCATTCTCTTTCATTTTCAGTAACCCACTTCATTCTTAGTGACATTATCACCATATTCCATCTTCCTGAATCCTGTTCCTTTATTGTACATTCTCCTAACTAAAGTCTTCTCATTCTCTTTCCCCTCTCAGTAACATTCACCATCTTCATTCTTAAGGACATTATCACCAACTTCCAGCTCCCTGAATCTTGGTTCCTTTATTGTACTTTCTCGTAAAAATGTCTTCTTCATTCTCTTTCATCTTCAATAATCCACTTCATTCTTAGTGACATTATCACCATCTTCTCTCTTTCTTAATCCTGTTCCATTTTCTTTGTACATTCTCCTAATCTTAATGTCTTACCACCATCATTCTGAATCTTTCATTTTCATTAACCCACTTCATTCATAGTGACATTATCACCATCTTCACTCTTTCTGAATCCTGTTCCTTTATTGTACTTTCTCTAATCCAAAGTCTTCTTACACTCTCAGTATCCCACTTTATTCTTAGTGACATTATCACCATCTTCTCTCTTTCTGAATCCTGTTACTTTATTGTATTTTCTCCTAACCAAAGTTTACTCATTATTTTCACTCTCAGTAACCCATTTCAGTCTTATTGACATTATCACCATCTTTCATCTTCCTTAATCCTCTTCCTTTATTGTACTTTCTCCTAACTGAAGTCTTCTCATTCTCTTCCCCTCTCAGTAACCCACTTCATTCTTAGTGACATTATCACCATCTTCTCTCTTCCTGAATCCTGTTCCTTTATTGTACTTTCTCCTAACTGAAGTCTTCTCATTCTCTTTCATTTCCATAACCCACTTCATTCTTAGGGCATTATCACCATATTCCATCTTCCTGAATCCTGTTCCTTTATTGTACTTTCTCCTAACTGAAGTCTTCTCATTCTCTTTCATTTCCATAACCCACTTCATTCTTAGTGACATTGTCACCATCTTCTCTCTTTCTGAATCCTGTTCCTTTATTTTACTTTCTCCTAACTAAAGTTTTCTCATTCTTTTTCACTCTCAGTGACATTATCACCATCTTTCATCTTCCTGATTCCTGTTCCTTTATTGTACTTTCTCCTAAGTAAAGTCTTCTCATTCTCTTCCCCTCTCAGTAACCCACTTCATTCTTAGTGACATTATCACCATCTTCCAACTCCCTGAATCCTGTTCCTTTATTGTACTTTCTCCTAACTAAAGTCTTCTCATTCTCTTCCCCTCTCAGTAACCCACTTCATTCTTAGTGACATTATCACCATCTTCCATCTCCTGAATCCTGTTCCTTTATTGTACTTTCTCTAACTAAAGTCTTCTCATCTCATTCTCTCCCCTCTCAGTAACCCACTTCATTCTTAGTGACATTATCACCATCTTCCATCTTCTCCCTGAATCCTGTTCCTTTATTGTACTTTCTCTAACTAAAGTCTTCTCATTCTCTTCCCCTCTCAGTAACTTCCAATCCTTCATTCTTAGTGACATTATCACCATCTTCCAACTCCCTGAATCCTGTTCCTTTATTGTACTTTCTCCTAACTAAAGTCTTTCATTCTCTTCCCTCTCAGTAACCAACTTCATTCTTAGTGACATTATCACCATCTTCCAACTCCCTGAATCCTGTTCCTTTATTGTACTTTCTCCTAACTAAAGTCTTCTCATTCTCTTCCCCTCTCAGTAACCCACTTCATTCTTAGTGACATTATCACCATCTTCCATCTCCCTGAATCCTGTTTCTTTATTGTACATTCTCCTAACTAAAGTCTTCTCATTCTCTTCCCTCTCAGTAACCCACTTCATTCTTAGTGACATTATCACCATCTTCCAACTCCCTGAATCCTGTTTCTTTATTGTACTTTCTCCTAACTAAAGTCTTCTCATTCTCTTCCCCTCTCAGTAACCCACTTCATTCTTAGTGACATTATCACCATCTTCCAACTCCCTGAATCCTGTTCCTTTATTGTACTTTCTCCTAACTAAAGTCTTCTCATTCTCTTCCCCTCTCAGTAACCCACTTCATTCTTAGTGACATTATCACCATCTTCCAACTCCCTGAATCCTGTTCCTTTATTGTACTTTCTCCTAACTAAACTAAAGTGACATTTCACCATTCCTCTGTTTCACTTTTTCAGTAACCAGTAACTTCATTCTTAGTGACATTATCACCATATTCCATCTTCCTGAATCCTGTTCCTTTATTGTACATTCTCCTAACTAAAGTCTTCTCATTCTCTTCCCCTCTCAGTAACCTACTTCATTCTTAAGGACATTATCACCAACTTCCAGCTCCCTGAATCCGGTTCCTTTATTGTACTTTCTCGTAAAAGTCTTCTCATTCTCTTTCTCATTCATTCTTTCATCTCTCCCTGAATCCTGTTTAACTTTCCTAAAAAAGTCTTCTCATTTCATTAATCCCTTCTTAGTGACATTATCACCATCTTCTCTCTTTCTTAATCCTGTTCCTTTATTGTACATTCTCCTAACTAATGTCTTCTCATTCTCTTTCATTTTCATTAACCCACTTCATTCATAGTGACATTATCACCATCTTCACTCTTTCTGAATCCTGTTCCTTTATTGTACTTTCTCCTAACTAAAGTCTTCTTACACTCTCAGTATCCCACTTTATTCTTAGTGACATTATCACCATCTTCTCTCTTTCTGAATCCTGTTACTTTATTGTATTTTCTCCTAACTAAAGTTTACTCATTATTTTCACTCTCAGTAACCCATTTCAGTCTTATTGACATTATCACCATCTTTCATCTTCCTTAATCCTCTTCCTTTATTGTACTTTCTCCTAACTAAAGTCTTCTCATTATCTTTCACTCTCAGTAACCCACTTCATTCTTAGTGACATTATCACCATCTTCTCTCTTTCTGAATCCTGTTCCTTTATTGTACTTTCTCCTAACTGAAGTCTTCTCATTCTCTTTCATTTCCATAACCCACTTCATTCTTAGGGCATTATCACCATTTTCCATCTTCCTGAATCCTGTTCCTTTATTGTACTTTCTCCTAACTGAAGTCTTCTCATTCTCTTTCATTTCCATAACCCACTTCATTCTTAGTGACATTGTCACCATCTTCTCTCTTTCTGAATCCTGTTCCTTTATTGTACTTTCTCCTAACTAAAGTCTTCTCATTCTTTTTCACACTCAGTATCTCACTTCAATCTTAGGGACATTACCACCATCTTCCTCTTTCTGAATCCTGTTCCTTTATTTTACTTTCTCCTAACTAAAGTTTTCTCATTCTTTTTCACTCTCAGTGACATTATCACCATCTTTCATCTTCCTTAATCCTCTTCCTTTATTGTACTTTCTCCTAACTAAAGTCTTCTCATTATCTTTCACTCTCAGTAACCCACTTCATTCTTAGTGACATTATCACCATCTTCTCTCTTTCTGAATCCTGTTCCTTTATTGTACTTTCTCCTAACTGAAGTCTTCTCATTCTCTTTCATTTCCATAACCCACTTCATTCTTAGGGCATTATCACCATATTCCATCTTCCTGAATCCTGTTCCTTTATTGTACTTTCTCCTAACTGAAGTCTTCTCATTCTCTTTCATTTCCATAACCCACTTCATTCTTAGTGACATTATCACCATCTTCCATCTCCCTGAATCCTGTTCCTTTATTGTACTTTCTCCTAACTAAAGTCTTCTCATTCTCTTCCCCTCTCAGTAACCCACATCATTCTTAGTGACATTATCACCATCTTCCATCTCCCTGAATCCTGTTTCTTTATTGTACTTTCTCCTAACTAAAGTCTTCTCATTCTCTTCCCCTCTCAGTAACCCACATCATTCTTAGTGACATTATCACCATCTTCCATCTCCCTGAATCCTGTTTCTTTATTGTACTTTCTCCCTAACTAAAGTCTTCTCATTCTCTTCCCCTCTCAGTAACCCACATCATTCTTAGTGACATTATCACCATCTTCCATCTCCCTGAATCCTGTTTCTTTATTGTACTTTCTCCTAACTAAAGTCTTCTCATTCTCTTCCCCTCTCAGTAACCCACATCATTCTTAGTGACATTATCACCATCTTCCATCTCCCTGAATCCTGTTCCTTTATTGTACTTTCTCCTAACTAAAGTCTTCTCATTCTCTTCCCCTCTCAGTAACCCACATCATTCTTAGTGACATTATCACCATCTTCCATCTCCCTGAATCCTGTTTCTTTATTGTACTTTCTCCTAACTAAAGTCTTTCTCATTCTCTTCCCCTCTCAGTAACCCACATCATTCTTAGTGACATTATCACCATCTTCCATCTCCTGAATCCTGTTTTCTTTATTGTACTTTCTCCTAACTAAAGTCTTCTCATTCTCTTCCCCTCTCAGTAACCCACATCATTCTTAGTGACATTATCACCATCTTCCATCTCCCTGAATCCTGTTTCTTTTATTGTACTTTCTCTAACTAAAAGTCTTCTCATTCTCTTCCCCTCTCAGTAACCCACATCATTCTTAGTGACATTATCACCATCTTCCATCTCCCTGAATCCTGTTCCTTTATTGTACTTTCTCCTAACTAAAGTCTTCTCATTCTCTTTCATTTTCAGTAACCCACTTCATTCTTAGTGACATTATCACTTTCTTCTCTCTTTCTGAATCCTGCTCCTTTATTGTACTTTCTCCTAACTAAAATCTTCTCATTCTCTTTCACTCTCTGTAATCATTTGCATCGTAGTATGGTGAAATGTAAAAGATCTATAAACAACTTGGTTAGGTAAGCATTACACTGCGATAAGTTGTGTTGCTTATAAGATATGAATAGTCCAAATTTCACACCATTAACACTATTGAAAACTCATAAAATTAGAACTTACCCGCTTTTTTGCTGATTTCGGGAAGTACTTATCGACATAAAGACGGCTCACAATATTAGACATTTCATTCCTTACGTATACAGCGCAAGTATATTCTCGTGGGGCAGCTGCCTTCACAGAATACAGTTCCTGAAAATATTATTAAGATAAAATTTAAGAAACATCAATGATATGCCATATGTAAGTAAATATATTCAAACTAACCACTAAAAATCATTAGTATGTTGTTCACTTTTATGTGTGGCTGTCAAATTGAATAGATGAAAAGATAATAAAATTACTATTTACTAGGATTCATGAGATTAGTGTTTGCTAGGATTCATGAATTTGCTATTAACTAGGATTCATGTGGTTAGTATTTACTAGGATTAATGTGGTTAATATTTTCTACGTTTCACGTGGTTAGTAATTACTAGGATTCATGAAGTTACTATTTACTCGGATTCATGTGCTTATTATTTCCTAGGATTCATGAATTTAGTATTTACTAGGATTCAGGTGGTTAGTATATACTAGAATTCATGAGGTTACTATTTACTAGGATTCATGAAGTTACTATCAGGTCATCCCATAAGTTCTGTCCGAATTTTGAATAAAGAAAACAAGTGACCAAATGTTACATTTAATTACAGATTCAATCAACAATGTATTTTTCCTGATTATCTATGAATTCCTTCCATCTATTAACAAGCTTACTAATTCCATTACTGTAAAATTCTTTTGGCTTTGATTCGAAGAACTCACAAATGTCAGTTTTAACCTCTTCCTGTGTTACAAAAGCTGTTTCTTCCAAATGATTCTGTAAGCTACGAAACAAATGGTAGTCTGAAGGAGCAAGATCAGGAGAATAAGTTGGATGAGGAATTTTCTCCCAACCAAGTTCTTCGATCTTTTGTGACGTGATTCTTGCTGTGTGGGGTCGCGCATTGTCCTGATGAAACATCACCTCTTTTTGATTCACTAGAGCAGGTCTTTTTTCCTCAAAGCTTGGTTCAAACGCTCTAATTGCTGACAGTATATTTGAGCATTAATTGTTGCATCAGGTGGTAAGAATTCAAAGTGGATTATTCCTTGGTGATCCCACCAGATTGAAAGAAGCTTTTGCCCATGAAGTTCCCTTCTCGGCTGTGGCTGGGGTCCTTCCCCTTTACCTTGCCACTGTCTACGACGCTTAACTTTTCGATAAAAGATCCATTTTTCGTCGCCAGTCATAAGTCTATCCAAAAAAAGTTGAAACAAGTTGGCGAGAATGGAGAGAAGAGCAGATGTCAACTCGGGATTTGAGGTTGTTTTCAGACAATTCCTGAGGAACTCATTTTCCAAATTTAGGAAGTTTTCCAAGTTGTTGAAGATGACGATGAACAGTTGTATGGTTTGAACTGAAAACCACTGCCAATTCCTCTACTGATAAAGCAGGATTTTCTTCAAGGTCTGCTTCAAGAAGCTTTTCATCAAACTCAACTGGACGTCCGGTTCGATCTTCATCTTCATGGGTGAAATCTCCACCTCTGAATTTTGCAAACCATTTTCTGCAAGTTCTTTCATTCACACATTCCTCTCCATAAACTGAGTGAATCTTTCTAGCTGCTTCGGCTGCTGAGTTTCCTTTCTTGAACTCATAAACCATTATGTGCCTCAAATGATTCTTGGGTACTTTCATGTTAGCATGGTTTTAATCAAACAAATAAAATGTGATCGGTTTAAATGCATCTAAACATAAAAATAATGTTCAGCTCCGTTAGACATTATAAAATACACTTTAAATTTCGTTCATTTTAACAATAAGTTAAAATTTGGACAGAACTTACGGGATGACCTGATATTTGCTAGGATTCATGTGGTTAGTATTTACTAGTATTCATGAGTAACTATTTACTAGGATCCATGAAGTTACTATTTACTAGGATTCATGTGGTTAGTATTTCGTAGCATTTATCTAGGTTTCATGAAACTGCTGTTTACTATGATTCATGTGGTTTGTATTTATTAGAATTAATGATTTTTCAATTTACTAGGATCCATGCAGTCGCTATTTACTAGGTTTCAGGCAGTTGCTATTTTCTAGATTTCATGCAGTTGCTATTTTCTAGGTTTCAGGCAGTTGCTATTTTCTAGATTTCATGCAGTTGCTGTTTCCTAATATTCATGAGGTTATGTCATTCTTTAGAGTATTTGCCTACGGTTAATTTTGGAAGATCAAGCCAAAAATGCTGTTTTTCATAACGAGTGTAAATTGTTACCAAATTTCTTTCAAAGAATGCACAACTCAATTGCTCATGAAATGCATCACTTGTATAATACATCAAGTGTATTATACTCTTAAATATATTGAATTTGGGAATATAACATTTTATTTCCCCTTATCTTTGTGTTCATAATCTAAAAGAGATAAAATATCATTTTCATATTTTTTCAATATAATTAAAAGATAAAACACCCTTTTGGTGTGTATCTTAATGTATACATTTCCCAATGTTTAAGTGATAAATATATCTTGAAAAACTTTGACGTGTAACGAAAAGTAAATATTTTGCCATAAATTGGAATGCCAGATATCGTAAGGCACGTGTGTAGAGTAATTGGCCAGAATGCCGAATACACAGAAGTGAAAAAGATTAGCAATAAACAATATTAAGAAAAAGAAAATAAAACAAGGTAGAAAAATATATTGGGAAAATAATATATGCAAGGCAAAGCAACATTAATAAGGCAAAAATTTCACCAACTAAGGGTGATGTTAATACACAAAAGGGGATACAGACAAGCGATCGAAGCATTCTGGCTTCAAGAAAAGAATAAACAAATCTATATCGGATGAGACTTGGACGTGTCTTATTGGCTCGGAAGAAATCCCAGCATATATCTGTGAGTTTTGTCTATAAATTTGGAAGTGGGGAAGTTTTTTGCTGTCATTTGCTGGATCTTGAAAATAGCTCGTCAAATAAACGATTTCTATTTGGCTGAGTATGACTTTCCGCAGAAGCCCCCAAACAAAAAAATCAAAATAGAATTTCCCTTAAGGTGTTGCTATTTGACTTTCTGGCCACATCTATGCTATTATATTTCCTTTGAGCTGTCAGCATATAGCTGTTTGAAAATCGAGTCGTCCTAAAGTCTGTCGCATTAGAGTTTAGACGTTACTTAGGAGTTCTTTAACTTCCGTAACTTTTGTTTAATTTTTGCATATGACTTGAAGATGATCGTTCCCAATGTCAGCACTTAGATGTATTTTAGAGTGTAGAACAACGTTCCTCAGTCTTTAATTAATTCTTATTAGCCTACCTTGTTTTGGGAGTCTTCTTCTGTGTTTTTCAATGTCCACAAGCATCTCAGGTGTTCTTGAAACCAAGTATTAGTTTTTTTTTGGGGGGGGGGGGTTGTGTACCATTTAGAATTATTTTTCTCTGTGCTTCTTACGGATTTCAAATCCGTAGAATTCTGTCAGAAAGTTGACAGTATCCCAGAACATTGTTTGTATTCATTGGTCTAGTATGAATCCTACTCCTCCTTCATTTTACTCTCTGCCTGCGTATAAGACCCTGGTCTATTGTTTATGAGTCCACATTATTTGCCAACTTAGTTTAATTCACTCTCTGAATATTAATATTTAATCTGCTTGATATTTTCAAGCATTTCACGTTATCTTAATTCGCGTACAGTCAGAATCACGATTAAGATCTTTATCTGTTCCGAACAGTAGCTATGTGATAGCCAGGTGACACTTATCGCGAATGTTTCTTTACCAGGTGAACAGTTGACCTCAAACGATTCCATACGCTTCACACAGTTATCTTTTCGTTACACGCAAATCACCAATCTGCCATTGGATAGCATGCCACTAGCTTTAACGCTGGTGATCCGCTGCCGGACCGCTGGTGTGTTCCTCTGGGCAATGTTACCACTGGCGGACTGCCAGAGGCCCACCGGTGGCCCGTCAATTGCCTGCCGGTGACTACCACCAGATGACCGCTGGCGTTGTCAGTGGCCGCCCGCCAGCGGGCCACTAGCAGCTTGCGTGTAGGGCTATATTCTTTCTACGAATGTTTCTGAATTTTAACTAAAACTTATAAAGAGATCTTTCACTTGAATACTAATATATATATATATATATATATATATATATATATATATATATATATATATTATCTGATTCGTCTGTGACATTTATTTGCACCGACAGAGTGTATCAACAGTTCCGAAAAGTTTGATGGAACTTGTTTTTATTTTCTTCAATATGAATAAAAGCAGTAAATAAAATAAAATTTATCAGTGCTATGCAACCTGAGGCAACGTACAGTACATAAAATTGATTTTTTAATATGTTTATCATGATTTTTAAGTGGTTTATCATGTTTACTGTTTAGTACTGTATGAACATTTAGAAATAAATCTCGAAATAAATTAGAATTAGAATTAGCTGGTTGACAGAAACCTATTATACACGTAGAAATAGCAGCCAGGTACATCCTTGTGCAAATTAATTGAAACAACCGCTTTAGTTTCCTTTCTTTCACCATACGGTCAGTTTTAAACCCACTGGAGTGCCGGGGTATAATTGATTTCTATTTTTCTTCAGATTAGGTCATTTGCAGTGGTGTGGAGTAATATGAATCTGTTTTATGAAGTTGTTCATCACGCTCAGACACTGTCGATTAGTTGTCCTACGGCCATTGTTTGCGATGGACGTTAATCCAAGGAAGCGTACGAAAATTGTAATGCTGCACAAACACACTGGCAAGTCTTACCAGTGAGCAAATCAAAGTACTAGTGACTGGCCCGAAAACACACTTGATTTAAATCCAAAATTTACCAGTACTATGACACCAGAAGCAATGTAGAGTATATAAATTGATTTTTGAATTTTTTAACATATTTACTGTTCAGTACTTTATGAACATTTGCAAATAAATTAGAAAAAAATTAGAATTGGTGCAAAAAGAAGCTGGTTGACAGAAACCTATTATACACGTAGAAATAGTAGCCAGGTGCATCTCGCTTACACCCTTGTGCAAATTAATTGAAACAACCGCTTTAGTTTCCTTTCTTTTACCATACGGTCAGTTTTAGACTCACTGGTGGGACAGGGTGTAATCGATTTCTTTTTTTTTTTTTTTCTCAGATTAGGTCATTTGCAGTGGTGTGCAGTAATATGAATCTATCTTTTGGGGTGTATGATGAAATTTGTTTGGCATTGAAAAATATTGCATCATCCGTGATTGCATCAGATTTTCATCAGGCCGTGACACGCCGGCAGTCGAGACAATTCTCGACTGTCGATTAGTTGTCCTACCACCATTGTCTGCGATGGACGTTACTCCAGGGAAGCGTACGAAAATTGTAATGCTGCACGAACACACTGGCAAACATTACCAGTGAGCAAATCAAAGTACTATAGACTAGTCGGGAAACTCTCCTGATTTAAATCCAGTCGAGAATCTGTGGTCAATGTGCAAGGAACGATTTCGTGGAATGGACATACGAAGTACTAACATATGCACTGGGTCATGTTTCATTGAAAAAATACGAAAAAAGTAAATAATATTGGAATTATTTGTTTTGTTTCATTTAATTTGCACAAGGGTGTAGCTACCAGCTCGTTAAGCAAAGACTTACTATATAAAAATAAAGAGTTATAAAGGGTTACTGTATATAAATATTGGATATAAAAATGCGATTACTTACCTTATCTAGATTAAGCTTTAATTTTCTATATTTAGATGGCATTGCGTCAATATATTGTATAATATAACGGGCTGCTGCATACCTTATCAAAGTTCTGAAAAATATTTTTCTTAATGTAAATTATATTTTCATTTCAGTGTGAATTTCATTTTAACTCACCGAACAATATGAATATTTTTTTTTAATTAAAAGAAACGATGGAAATGTGAATATCTCTGATAGAGGACTAAAATATGATTATTTAATTTAGATAATACAAAACAAACATTAAAATATTATAGCTAATGGTAATACAGATTAATATAATGTATCAAAAGACGTAAGCATGACTAGAAGTCAACGTATTTTAAACTAGTTGAATTTTTGTCACGAGCTCAATAGATAAGTAAAGCAACAATAGTCTATAAATGAATCATAAATGCTCGAATAACTTATCTTTTGACCGACTCGAGCATTTCGCGTAAATCTGCTCATAAAATTTATCCAACCAGCTGACCCTGATGTTCAATATTACGCGAAACTCTGAAAACGGTCAAAAGATAAGTCACTTGAGCATTTATTAATTCATTAATTTCTTGGTTATATACGTCGGTTAAATAGAAGGGTAGACTGGAGTCGACCCACCTGATTGGTTTCTATTCTAGAAGAAAGAAAATTTTGAATTCAAAGCTATGGGGGAAAACAACGGAAAGACTGCACTATCTTTCCCAAGAAGTCCTGCTTCCCTTCTTATTAACCCATAGTTGATAGAGAGAAGATGGGTTCATGACTTTCCAAGGACATTTCCATGGAACGGAATGCCACAGACTATTCCAGAACTTAACCCCAGCTCGTTGAACCCACTTGGTCCCATTAGCCCTGAAGTTTCCCACATATCCAATAGGAAGACGTTTACGATTTGAATAAAAATACTTCTTTTTAAATACATCTGTATTTCGCATCAACGTTTATATTCTAATCAATAAATTATTCTTTTGTTTTTTGTTTTTTATAAAAGTACTTATAGGTCTAAACGATTCTGTAAAACTAACGTAATGTACTTACTTAACATCAGTGGCATTCAAAATACCTGCCAATTTCTTAATATAGCCCGGAAAATACACCAAGACTTGAGTTTTTTCATCCACTTGTACATGTGAACCTGAATTGTTGATTGCCTTCTGGAAGATTTTTAGCCATTCCACTTGATTCTTTCAAAAAAAAGAAAAAAAACATTAATTTCACTCATTTATAGATCAAATATGTGCATAAATATATACATACAAATATATATTGCAATTTATATCTATATATTCACATGTACACAAATACATATATATATATATATATATATATATATATATATATATATATATATATATATATATATAATCATGTATCCATTACATACATTTATACCTATTTATAAATATATATGTAAAACCAAAAACAATGGCTGGCTGTTTTTGTTCAGAAAATAAAATTTTAAATTTAATGATAAAATTAAATTTAAAATCCATAGCTCCGTTCCATTTTCAAGCGATTTTTGGAATAAGCTATTGAGAAATCTTAATATTTTAAATTGATAAGGTTACAGAAAGTTCAATTATTTTGATAAGGAGTGGTTGGGTTTTAATTTCTCTAGACAACTTATGTATCAAATATAAGTTACTTTCAAAACCAGGTTATGTTATGGTGGGGTAGTGGTGCCTGCTCACAAACAATGACATCCGTTTTTCGCGTGTCGTATGAGTTTTTCAGTGATAAAAAGTTTTTGGCATTTTTATTTGGCCGCTTAATTTATAATTTTATACACAAATATTTCTTAAAAGGGTCATCTGAATATGAGTAAGTCGTATTTTTAATATTTCAAATCTATTCCTACAAATTTAAAGTACTTTTCTACTTCTAATAACTAATAGACTATATGTTACTTTTTACAAATAAATATATTAGAATTATATTCGTATTTAAAAACTTATTAATCAAAGATCAAGTATAGATATCTGTTTCAGCTTTCATCACTTTTTCAAATTTAAACATTTAAGGAAATATTTGACAGTGTCTGCAAAAATAGTTACTACATTTCTTTGATTAAGTAAATTTTTATTTTTCAAAGAATTCTTAATGTATAATTTTTCATGTATGGACAAAGGACATGGGTCATTTAATGACCTACAAACTCTAGCTCTTCTTATTAATTTCCATTTTACTGATGGTTTTTTATTGGTTTCTTTTAAGTGCTAGAAATATTTAGATAGGGACGTTTAATTTCTGTATTTATTATTTTTAAAGGACATTTTATGTTGGTTCCAACGTCTTTTGAAATCATGTTTTGGGCATCCAATATACATTTTAACTGTCTGGATCTTCAATAGATGAAATATTGCATTGATAAACCAATGATTCTATAAAACATTTATTATTGAGAGGACAATCTTGAGGATTTGTACAGTTACCTAATTTTACCTTTTCTTCATTTCTGTTTATTTTATTTTTATGTAGATTTTTTTCATTTTGGTCTAAGTGCTTGCTCAAGATATTAGCATTATGTTTCTTAATAATCATTTGTAAATTTTCAATACAACAGTAATTTAATTTAATGGTATCTTTATTAAAATTGTACTGAGTTTACTGTCTATAAGAAAATGTTTATCAATTAATGCAAGGAATTTTTCTCCTAATTTATTTTTCACCATTTGGTTGTATGGGGTGTATATCGAATGATTTTTCTCTTTCTGTTTCTTCTATCATGTCCATTTTCATTTTTATATAATTGAGTTTTAGGCATTTATAGCTGCTATTCTTTAGAGCTTTATTATAGAAATTACTACGTTCATAGAATATTTTCTCATTTGCTGAATTTGTACTTATTCTCTTTTCGATTGATAAATGTATATACTTAATTACAGATAGAGGGTGATTAGACTTGGGATTTTTGTAAGGTAGGTATATATTATTCATTAAATCTAATTTCATATCAAGGAAGTTCATTTTTTTCAATTTAGTAATTACAGTAATCTTCAAGTTTTTCCAGCGTCCTTAAGTTTTCCTTTTTGTAGGAGTAAGGGAGTAAATCAGTTACATATATCGGACACATTACCACCGCCTTGAATAGACGAAGCATTCTGATTGAAACATCTAGCACCTAGGATTATTCTTACTTTAACAACGTAATGCACGAGATCGCTAAAAAAAGCGTAGTCTGATGAAAAAGACGTCAAACTTGACGAAAACAAAATTTTATCGCCAAAATGTCTATGTTACGAGTAAGAGTAAAGAACAAAGTAATTTTTAATTATTTTTTCAAAATTTTCTGTCTTTATTACAACATTCTAACTTTCGATTGAAAAACCTTGTTTCTCGTCATCACCGGAACTCTAGTAAATAACATGGCGAATTTTTTGTGCATTTTTTTCTTATGACACACATTAATTTTGAAAATCTTGAAAAAATAGAAATAATTGTCAGATTTTAATGAAACTTTCAGAAACTATTCAGAAATGATGGAAATTATTATAAATATGTTATTTTTTTTAAAGTCATTATAAAAATATATTTTTTTATACATATATTACCACCCCATAAATGAATTAAAGAAAACTGTAAAAGTTTATGGACGAAGCAGGGAAGTCATTATATTAATAAAAAACACAAGGCTTTGAGGAAAGTAAATCAGGTTTTCTTTTTTAAAAAATCCGAACACGTAAACGCGAAAATCAGCTCTGAATTGTAACATACAAAACCCAATAAAACAAAAATAATATTTAATTTTAAATGCTTTTAGTTGCTTTTATTTGTTTTTATCAATATGCATAATATTGTCTGAAGGCAAAAAAACTTTTTTCGATGAAAAATGAATTTTTAAATGAATTAATTGTTATTTAATAAATTATTTTATTATTTTTTTACATAAAGTTACTAAAAGTTGTTAAATATTCTAAAATTAGCGGTACTGACGAATCCTGTATATAATGCTATTTTTTAGGTACCTATATCTGTACAGATTATAAATAGTACAAGGTTTTTACAATCAACGAAAAAGCAATGAGAATAATCTTACTGTCCTTTAACCTATGTGTAGAAAAAAATCTTAAATCAAATGTACGGAGGCCCGGAAGAAACATGATCCAATAAAAACATCACGTGAATTGATTTGTACGGCACTGTTAACGGCCTTTATATTTATATAAAATTACTTTAAAAAATTTATAATAATTTCCATCATTCCTGAAAGTTTCTTTAAAATCTGACAATTATTTCTATTTTTGCAAGATTTTCAAAATTAATGTGTCATAAGAAAAAAATGAACAAAAAATTTGCCATGTTATTTACTAAAGTTCCGGTGATGACGAGAAACGAGATTTTTCAATCAAAAGTTAAAACGTTCTTTAATAAAGACAGAAAATTTTTTTAAAAATAATGAAAAATTACTTTGTTCTCTCCCCTTAATAGTAACATAAACATTTTGGTAATAAAATTCTGATTTCGTCAAGTTTAAGGCGGTTTTTTCATGGTATGACTACTTAAAAATGACGAGGTAAATAAGTTAACGTAAAGATAAATTGTCACTTACGACCTTCCGTACTATAAATTTCCGCACGTAATATGTCAGTGCGTGATGAAAAACACGCACTTGTCATTTGTCAATCAACACCGCAGTTCAGATCGGCTTTCTCCCATTTGAAAAAACATGTTTTCATCACAGAAAATAAGTAATCTTTGTTTCAAAATATACTAAATAAACTTTCTAATTTCTAATTTTTTAAAAATTAGTTAAAAAAAAATCATAATTGATTTTTTAAATAAATTTTAAACGGCAACATTCACTTTTGTAAACAAACGTCAAAAACAACGGGAGATTATCGATCTTCTGTCGATTTTTCCGATTCAAAAAAATTGAAGATTTTTAACGAAAATTTTGGACGTGCTAGAAATTATTAAAAAATTTGAAAAAATATTCAAAAAATACTTTGATCATTCCTCTTGATAATAACATTAACATTTATACGATAAAAAATTATTTTAATCAAATTTAAGGCCTTTTTTATTCATGGTATGCTATTTTTTTATCGATCTCATGCACATAGGTATTTATTTTTTTTTTAAAAGCACGCCAACTTGAATTCCACGCGCGTTTCTTTCATGTGTCTCAGAATAAACTCTACTATGATAGAATATGCATCAGATGATACTTTTTAAAAGACAACCGTTGAAATAAATTAATATGAACAAAACTTTTAAATATGGTTAAAAAATGATAGAAAACGCTTGAGACAATAGACCCTACGAACAATCTTTACAGTTCCTTATCCTCACCAAATGGAAAAAATTTAATACTAGAAGAACTCAAAAAAATTCATAAATTCATAAATTTAACGAAACATATTTGAAACATGTTTGAAGGAAAATCTGTTGTCCAAATATACTTATATATATGGAATGGACGTCATTATTTTAACTTGAGAATAGATTTTATTTATAAATAAAATCATTTTTAATCGTGTTCCAATTTTCTCTCTTCATTCGCTATTTACTAATAAGTTTTTGATTGTTTCATTCTGCCAACGTTCACCTTTTGAGAAATTGTTGGCCGAAAAGGTCTCCTCAAGGTAAAATAATGACGTCCATTATATATATATATATATATATATATATATATATATATATATATATATAATGACGGCCATTATATTTATTTTAAATCTATTTTCTTCTTCTGTGGGTACAAGTCTTTGTTTATATATAACGTTATTATAATGGATACTCGTATTTGAAATAGACACCCCATTTTATTTTCAACTAAAATAAAATTAAATTAAAATAGGGCATCTATTTAAAATACAATTATTCACTATAATAACTTTTGAAATAATAAAATCCATAAATTCTTCGATATGATAAAAATATAGTTTTAAGGTATGCTATAATTATGTGACAGAGCATATATAAATGTAAAAGTGGACATTGAGGTCAATACCCAGCAACGACAGTATGTTTCATGCTTAAACGCAATCTTATTGATTAGTTTATTATTTGTTATTGATTATTATTATTATTACCTTTACTTGGATTTTAAATGAGCATTCGTAGTTTGTTAATTTGTTTATGATTTACTTAATTTGTTTACTTAATTATTGATTTGGATTATTTTATTTTACTTATTTAATTATTTTTTTCTGTTCATTTTTAGTTTTAGATTTTTAAGTAACGCAGTAAAATATTGTTTTTGTATCTGCATTTTGAAATGAGTTCACTTAGTCATCTGTCTCGTCTGGTAAGGTAATTATTGCTTTTTTCTACTCCAGACATAGTTTACAGTTTTTGGATTTATTGTGGCTGGCTGGTGCGTTTTTTTTTATATTTTTGATGTGTTTTGATTTTTCATTCCTCAGATATATTTAGAAATCTCTGTTTGCATGTTTACTATTTGTGAAAGATGTTTTGTGTGTAGTTTTTTTGTTGCCAGGGTCCTTCAGTTACTCCTATGTATGTTTTTCTTCGTTATCTGCTGATTTTTGTTATCATATAGCTAAATGCGATACGTTAGAACGGGGAAATGGTATGGATAACCTGTACAAATGTAAGTAAAATTTATTAGGATGACAAATATTTAATTCACCGGAGCATATCCTGCTTACTGCGAATTTAAAATTTTAAAAAGATATTAAAAACCTCTGTGTGATTATGAAGTTCTTCGATGGTCATCAGGTTATAGTTTTCTGACACATTCTGTGAGAAGTCCGTATAAATCTGCAAAAATACAAAAAAAAACTAATGAGTCTAAATCATGAATCAGTTACGAAAAGTAAAAAATAAAAAATAAAGACAGAACGAACTGGAATATAATTTTTTATAAATTCGCGTAAGGTAGTGCTTCTCCATCTTACATAAGTTGACATAAACACGTATCACCAAACAATATTTTTTAGCAAGCTGATGACGCAACTATTTACTTTTGTCTTAATAATAAAACTGATATTTTCCATAAAGTCATATGGGCAGCTGATCTAAACAAAATGACCTACATTCTGTTGTTAACAGGGATAAGAAATGGCTTGCTAATTTTAACGCATCCAAAATGAAACTGCTCTCTATTAATCGTCTGAGAGAACCCTTTATACCTTCCACCAGTATGGCTAATGCTAACCTTCCTGAGAGTGACTCATTCCACCTTCACTGGTTAACGTTTTCCGCTGACATGAAGGTGAAAGATTATGTTGAATCAATTGCTAGATCTGCTACTAGAAAAGTTGGTTCATGATGTCGTTTTAGACAACTTTTCTCGCCCGAATCTATCTTGCATATTTATAAGTCTAGCATTCATCTATGTGTTAGATGTTACTGCCACTGCTATGTTCTGGTGCCTATGCTATATATTTAGAGATTCTTGATAAAATCCAAAGAAGAATCAGTAATGTTATTGGTCCTGTCCTGGCATCTCGGCTTTACTCACTTTCTCACAGCCGTAATGTTGCTTCCCTATGCCTTTTCTATAAATACTTTTATGGTTATTGTACTAATTAAATTTCCTCCATGGTACCTAGGCTTTATGATTTTAAGCGCACTACTAAATTTGGGGCAAAATCTCGTCATTTTAGAGTTGAAATAGCGAGGTGTAACCGTAAGTTCTATGCTAACAGTTTCTTCTATCGCACTTCTTACTTGTGGAACTTTCTTATGGTTTCTTGCTTTGCAGTCAAGTTTTGATGTTCGAAAATTTAAATGCAATGTCAATCGTTATCTTCTGTTATCTTACTTCCTGTTCTATTATTGTTCTCGCTTCTTAATAATATTTGCATTTTCTTATATGCACAGTCAGTAATCTCCTTAGTGGCTTTATTGCCATACTTGCGGGGAAATGATTAAAAATGGCCTTTACAACATAAACTGTAACATTTAATTTGCGTAACAAATTCTCAAGTATATTTTATTAAATATTTAATTTGTCTTACGTATTATTAATGTAAATTTTTAAATTTGTTATATATAACTATTGTTATTTTTTTTTTCAATTCATCACATTTGTATAGAAAGAACTTATATCTACCTTGTCAAAATTAAGTTGTAAGTAACAGAATAATATCATTGTGATTACATTTAAAGAAAATGTAAAATAAACGAAATCTTGACTTAATTTTTTTTAAGAATTGACAATAAAATCGTTTTCCTTTCAGAACGTATGCGATGATGTCCCTGCAAAACTTCCACTGTTTTGCATCCCTTAGTAAAGTTTGTCTTTTTGCTATCACTTTTAATCCTGTTCTGTCACCTATTTAGGTAGGTTATTCATTGTCCCAGAGATTGAACTCACAATTTCTACGCCATCAAATTCACAAACTAACGCTTTGTTCCATTAGACTATTGTCTGCTACCAATGTCTGTCATCACATAGACGTTTACAACTATGACTACCAAATTTTTTATTGTTCATCGAAACATTTTTAACCAATTAGTTTATGAATATGTGAAATATCTTTAGTCTCTGGTTCTATTTACAATATCAGTATAATGCTAAGTCAGGTCCTTTTTCTGAGTATTTGCTAACTTAGCTAAACCAAATGTGTTTTCATAATTAAGCCTATTCGAATTTTGTGAAATTTCTCCTCAAATATTTCAATTAAATATAAAACAAGAGCTCATGTTGGGTATGATTTTTGCATAAGATATAATTCATACTACAAATTCACCATCTCTTATTGGAATAAAATGCCATATTTAGGATTTCCACTGGCTTGGAATCCCGTTTGTAAGACACTTAAATGGCATACAGATATAATAGTATGCATTATAAAGAGTTGGAAGAACTTCAAAGATATTTCTAAGATTTCTATAACATACAAAATCTCGATGCGATCGTTCTATCAAATTAATATAGTAAATTTAACAAAACGTATTGTTCCTTTTCATCTGAAAACCTTGAACCTGAAAAAATGCTTGGAAAATCGTAACATACCCTTAAGGACCAACTTCACGACTGTGATTCAAAGCAGATGAAATATATGGATGGGGTCATATTAGTGCTTTACTGCGTTTTAAGAACTCTTAATGGATAATATCCCAACGAAACCACCACGTGCATAAAATTAACTTTCTTCTATGGAGATCAGTTTTGGGGATCAATTGTGGAGATTTATCCTTGTCACTTCACTGCCTTTTGCGTTGAACATTGTCGTATGTTAATGTACTCAAAATGTATTCTTAATAGCCACATATGATTAGTAATTAGTATGATATATTCGTCATTACAATTTATTACCCAAAACGGAATTTACTTATGACTCAACATAATAATTTTTAATGCATCAGTCTTTTCATTGCAATTCAAAGTCAGAGATTTCTTTAATATTTAAATATCATGCACACACAAGCATTATAAAAATGTTGGGTAAACTTTGAAGATATTTTTAAAAATTTCTATAACATTAGGCAAAATATGTCGGTGGGATCGTTGCATCAAATATTTTAAAACTCAGCATAACGTAACTTCTCTATATTATTGCTCACGTGACCGAGTGGCCAGCACGTTCACTTTCCGACGATGAAACCCGGGTTCGAATCTCACGAAATAAACCTTCAAATTCGTAACATTGAATGGTTTTGCACTCTTCTTGCACAAAACCTTCTTAAGAATGCGATAGATATCGTTTAAAAAGCATCATTTTACTACGATTTCTCTCTTTTGTTAAACAAATAGAGAGAAAGAGAGAACAATAAGTAAAATAATATAGAGAGGAGAAATGTGCTGAAAATACATATTTCAATAGATTATAATTTATATTTACGTCTTTTAACTTTAGTTCATAGTTAATGACTTCGTCTGTAAAATTTCCCAGGACATCGGAAAACCCCTCAATCAAATTTCGGAAGGCTGCAAAACCTGACGTCGATTGATTGTAGTACTTCTTTGATCCCAATATTAAACCTATATGAGTCACCTGCGAAGTAAGAAAAATCAATATATTAACAAAATATATGTATATTTAAAATAATAGGAAAGTACAGTGAGATTTATAATTCAGAATTCTTAGCTTTTATTTTTATTTTTAAAAAACAGTGCTCGATACGATCCGTAGAGCTTAATATTATAATTATTTTTTTTTAAATATCAGGTCATCCCATAAATTCTGTCCGAATTTTAACTTATTGTTAAAATGAACGAAATTTAAAGAGTATTTTATAATGTCTAATGGAGCTGAACATTATTTTTATGTTTAGATCCATTTAAACTGATCAAATTTTATTTCAGAGAACAATAAAATTAAATTTTGTTTGATTAAAACCCTGCTAACACGGAAGTACCCAAGAATCATTTGAGGCACATAATGCTTTATGAGTTCAAGAAAGGAAACTCAGCAACCGAAGCGGCTAGAAACATTCACTCAGTTTATGGAGAAGAATGTGTAAATGAAAGAACTTGCAGAAGATGGTTTGCAAAATTCAGAGGTGGAGATTTCACCCTTGAAGATGAAGATCGAACCGGACGTCCAGTTGAGTTTGATGAAAAGCTTCTTGAAGCAGACCTTGAAGAAAATCCTGCTTTATCAGTTGGGGAATTGGCAGTGGTTTTCAGTTCAAACCATACAACTGTTTATCGTCATTTTCAACAACTTGGAAAACTTCCTAAACTTGAAAAATGGGTGCCTCATGAATTGTCTGAAAACAACCTCAAATCCCGAGTTGACATCTGCTCTTCTCTCCATTCTTGCCAACTTGTTTCATCTTTTTTGGATAGACTTATGACTGGTGACGAAAAATGGATCTTTTATCGAAAAGTTAAGCGTCGTAGACAGTGGCTTGGTAAAGAAGAACTCCAGCCACAGCCGAGAAGGGAACTTCATGGGCAAAAGGTTCTTCTTTCAATCTGGTGAGATCGCCAAGGAATAATCCACTTTGAATTCTTACCACCTAATGCAACAATTAATGCTCAAATATACTGTCAGCAATTAGAGCGTTTGAACCAAGCTTTGAGGAAAAAAGACCTGCTCTAGTGAATCGAAAAGAGGTGATGTTTCATCAGGACAATGCGCGACCCCACACAGCAAGAATCACGTCACAAAAGATCGAAGGTTGGGAGAAAATTCCTCATCCACCTTATTCTCCCGATCTTGCTCCTTCAGACTACCATTTGTTTCGTAACTTACAGAATCATTTGGAAGAAACAGCTTTTGTAACACAGGAAGAGGTTAAAACTGACATTTGTGAGTTCTTCGAATCAAAGCCAAAAGAATTTTACAGTAATGGAATTCGTAAGCTTGTTAATAGATGGAAGGAAGTCATAGATAATCAGGGAAAATACATTGTTGATTGAATATGTAATTAAATGTAACATTTGGTTACTTGTTTTCTTTATTCAAAATTCGGACAGAACTTATGGGATGACCTGATATGATTCCATCACGACACAGAACATTCTATGGAATCATATTTAAAATAATAATAATAATAATATATTGACAAAATATAATAATATAGACATGATTTTATAATTTTATCTAACAATATATAGAATGAAAAGTACCACGTGAGTAACTGACTTGAAGAAGATGTATGGGAGCTGCTTCTAGCAGATTAGAAAATTATGTATATTTAATTTAAAAAAACATAGATTTTACAAAATTTATTGTATCCGTTTTAATACAAAAGTACAAAGCAGACAAAAAATAGTAATCTGTTTCCATATCATCTTCTTTCGTGTGTCGTGTCCCCTCCAGAACGTAGGTGATGATGGCCCTCCACAGCTCCCTGTCCCTTGTAGCCCTTAATAAGTTTTGTCTTTTTGTTATTTCTCATAATCCATGTTCTATCATTCATTTGCTCAAGCACATCAAGTATGTAAAGCTTTGCTTTCCACTGTCCCTCTTTCACTCTATCTGTTCTGTAAGTATCATACTTCTACCTCGTTACGTGCCCCAGAAATTTCAACTGCCTCTTCCTGATGTTAAGTATAAGTTTTCTTTTTGTTTCCATTCTCTCCAAAACTCACATGTATCCTCATCATCCTTCTGTAGAACCACATGTCTGTTGCTTCGAGACTCTTCTTCATCTTCCATGCAGAAGGACAGATATCAGGTAACAGTTCAGTACACCTTTATTTGTTTCCTGCTCAATTGTGAAATATCCGGGAGTTATTATTGCTATTACTAATACTACTATTATTATTATTACTAATACTACTACTACAAATAATACTAATAATTCTTCCTGAAAAGGACCAATGCTTCTAACTAGAAATTAAAAAAACCACATACTGAAAACTGTGTTAGCCCAAAATGTAGATTCTATGATAAATATCCAGAAACAATAGACCAGCTTGTATCAGGTTGCAGGGTATTGGCACCCACTGAATATAAAACTCAGCATAACATGAAGTAGAAAGACAATATCTTACATATTTATAAATCTACTATTCGTCCATGCTTAGAATATTGCTCGGTGCTACTGCTATATATCTAGAGATCATTGATAAAATTCAAAGAAAAATTGGCAATATTATTGGTCCTGATCTGGCGTCTCGGCTTTGATCACTTTCCCACCGCCGTAATGTTGCCTCTCTGTGCCTTTTCTATAAATACTTTCTTGTAATTGTTTGAATGATCTCTTCCCTAGTTGTTGTTTTATTCCCCTTCCCCACAGACAATGAATTGTACATATGGGGACTAGTTAGGTTTTTTATAGAGACAGTGTGGTATTATGGTGAATGTGGTAAGAAATGGAAGAATGTGTTGTTTTGGTGTTAGGAATATTGTGACATGTTTGGGTCAGTGTTTGTGGCTAGCTAAGTTTAAATTTAAGACAGAAGAAGACCGTCTTTTCCCCACTCCCCATTTTTAGCCTTGTACTACATTTTCTGTATTTGAATCAGAAATAAATATCGCTCTTCTCTATGGGAACTAGATTTTGTGAATTTAAGCACAATACAAGACTGGCGATGAGGTCTCATCGATAGTTGAGTTGGCTAGATGTAACCGTAAGTTCTATGTTAACAGGTTCTTTTCTCGGATTTCTCGCTTGTTGAACTCCATTCCGGCTACATGCTTTCTTCAAATATTTAAATGCAATGTCAATCGCTATCTCCGATCTTGTTGGTTACTCTACTTTTATAATGTTTCTGTTTCTAATTCGTCCACGCCCAGTAATCCTTTTATTTTATTGCCTTGCTTGGGGTGTACTCGATTAAAAAAAGATTCTGACAGACCCATTGAACGTATCCCTGGTATCCCATGACTTAAAGAAATAAAAAAGAATGTTCTCAAAAATACAGCCAACATATTATAAGACTATATCAATGTAAAATGTATGCGTCTTCATATGTTCATTTCTTTCTTTCTTTATTTTTTCTTTTTTTACAAAAGATTTCAGTGAAAAATTTCCTGATGATATTTCAGACCTTAGGTATCTGGTTTGGGCACGGATGGAAATGAGTAGACAACAGAAATCAAAGGAAATAACAATAACAACAATAATGCGCGTAGAAAATGAACGTAGGTAGTTCGAAGTTTTCTGGTAAACAACGAAGCGACACTCCTAAAGTACGTCGAGAAATCCTAAAATCTTGTAAAAGAGAATATCGAAAATAAAGAATATAGGAAGAGGACTTCACCTGGCTAAAGTTTTCATTCATGTACTTGGATACGCGCATGAAGGATAGGGGACGCAGAAATATAAAAATTATATACCATTTTCATTTCTCAGAGTTACCCAGTAAAAAAAAAGACAATATTTCTAGAGGTAAAAGACAATAGAAAAATTGTATTATTAACCGACGTGTTTCGTCCAGTGTGGACTTTTTCAAGGCAAATAATAAATTAATTTCGTTTTTGCTTTGAAAAAGTCAGAATTGAACGAAATGCGTCGGCTAATAAAACAGGTTTCCTATTGTCTTTTACCTTTATATATATATATGTGTGTGTGTGAGAGAGAGAGAGAGAGGGGGGAGCGAGAGAGCGTAAATTTAATTATACTAACATCAAACTTTATTCAAAATGTTACAAAAAATCATCCTATGACATCCTATTCTTAAAGAATATATAGAGAAATAAAATATATTTAAAGGTATGAATATTTAAAGGTATGAATATTTAGTATCCTTCACGATATTAACAATTTACTCAGACGCAAGCGGGCCCAAAACAGAAATACTTGGCTACAGATGTAGCTCCCCTTAAGTCTTTTAAGAATATGATTTCTAAAAAGAAATCCAATTTTACAATCAAGTAGCCTGAAAAGTAGGCGGTACGATGGAGTAATGAATCGGATTGAGAAATCGGAGAGTCGAGTTCGAATTCCAATCAAATCCATTACATTCACTTGTGTGCTAATACCCTTGGGAAAGGTAAGATACCTCTTCTTCTCCCGCACCCCAGCTATGGGTAAATATCAGAACAAACCAGGTTCTATAGCTTTGGATGGCAACTGGTCTACCACAGAAAGAAATAGCAACCTACTGCGGGAAAAAAATCTGCCTCGTCAGTCATGTATCTATTGATACATGACTAACGAGGCAGATTTTTCTATAGCCTTGGATGGCAACTGGTCTACCACAGAAAGAAATAGCAAACTACAGCGGGAAAAAATCTACCTCGTCAGTCATGTATCGAAAGATACATGATCGCCTAAGCATGTATCACGCATGGCCCATAACTGACTGATCCTGAAGAGTGGATGTTATAATTCTAGATTAAAAGACTAGTGAACATTTAATTTTAGTTATTATTAACTCTGGGTGTTACTTCACTGATCCTTCGTACCCAAGCCGTGATAAAAAGATTCTGCGGGCGCATTTCATATTAAAAAATAGCCAGTTTATTGCTCGACATTACTGAAGTGTTTCAGTGTGTTTAACGTGAATTCTAGATGACAGTGGCTGAATAATACTTACAGAAATGATGTTACGCGTCACATTTTTGGGGTCTGGCGCAACAAAAGCTGGAACCAAGGTATTTGCCCCGAAGCTGATTAACATATTGACTAAGTCCACATAATTTGTTTGATTACTCATTGTGAGGATGGCTTCCATGATGAGATTTTTACTATATTTCTCAATGGCATCTGAAAATATTGATAAACAAATTATATCATTTTCTCATTTAATATATATAGAGAGAGAGAGCGTATGTAAATATAAAAGTGAACATTGAAGTCAAAACACAGAGACGACATGCTAGACGCAATCGTCGGGCAGCCTGACGATAGCGTCTAGCATGAAACAGCCTGTCGCCTATATATATAAAAGTGAACATTGAAGCCAGCAATATATATATATATATATATATATATATATATATTATGAAATGCACCAAGTCCGACAATTATTTTAATATATTTTTGTTTTTACGTTATTTTATAGGTAAAAATATTTAAGTAAATGCTCTGTTCATAATAAACAGTAATAACAACATTTACCGGCCTAAATGTCCGTGAAATCCCAAAGAAAATATGTGTCCTCCGACAAGAAGCGAAGCTGTATCCTACACGGAACCGTCATATAGCTTGACGTGCTATACCATTTAGTTAAAGGAGGAATAGTCTAGTTAGTAAGGCTAAATTACTGTTTTTAAACTACAAATTTCTTATGGTTTCCCTCGAAAGTTCATATCTGCTCGAACGTGTCTTAACGTAAACAAATGACATCATATATTATGAAATTAAGTCCGACAGTACACAAATATATCAAGAAATCAAAAGAAAACGGTTGAATCCGTCAACACAACAATACAAACAATATTTCTACACGTGAAAATATTCCCTTCAAACATATGAAGTAATTGACGTCATTTTTCAGTTGACCAGATGAATATACAATTGCGTTTTTAAATTCTTCTAGTTGCTAACGACTTTTTTATTGTTGTTTATAGATACTTTTTTCAATAAATTCATTTCGTTTTTTGCCTTGAAAAAGTCCACATTGGACGAAACGCGTCCGCTAAAACTATAGTTTTCCTATTGTCTTTCTCCTTTATGATATATATATATATATATATATATATATATATATATATATATATATTCGCTTTTTTCATCTATGCGTATGCGTAATAAGCTTGAATAAATATCTGCAAAATACAATATTAATACAAAATCGTGTAATATGTATCTGGTTTCATCAGGTTAAATTCAAAGTCGGGATCATGTGCTACTTTGAACTATAAGATGGTATTTTAATTGCTGATTGTACAGTTTCACGGTTCCGCGGTCTATTGGATTCATTTTGATGGACAGAAATGTATAAATGCTATTGATATAAGAAGTCTGATTGGATATTGTGCTGGAGGTCGTAAAGTTTCTTGACTTTAAAGCACTGAATACAATTTTATGGTAATATAATAATGACTGATTACTCGTATCCACATATGTCTGTCTACTAGGATGTCTAGCCATTCCTTATTGCAGACGCCTGCCGGAGCACATTTGTATTTAATAAACATCCACAAAGCCGACCTGTGGATTATACTACAACTAGCGGAACTTAGAGAGTGCAATATCTGGCATGATTAACAGTTTGAACAAGATCAGTACGCTCGTTCTCGATATCCTGTGACTTCATGCTATCACAATCTAATAGTTCCGTCTACCCATTTTTACTCACAGGGCTTGGGTCAACCCAAAGGTGCAGCACAGTGGGATTGCCCAATGAACACTACATTGGTAATACCATTTTCTAGATTTTACAATATATTGGATACTGTATTATCTATGTGATCAGGTGTTGCTATGATCTAATATTTCCTTGAAGAAAGAAGCAAATTTACTCAAACTAATGCTGATAGTGACATTTCCTTGCTTCACAATATACTGAATAATGTTTCCTATGTACTATACATTGCTTTGGATCTTTCCTGCTTTCACAATATAGTGATACTGTTTGCTGACTGGGATCAGTTTGAACACATCTTTCATGATGGTACATTTTCCAGATTTAACAATGTATTCGATACATTTTGATGGTTAAGATCAAGTGCTGTTAAATCTGAATCGTCTATTTAAGGAACAAACAGCAGGGCATACTACATTAGTGATAGTCATGTTACCTGATTTTAGAATGTATTCCATATTCTTTGCTAGGTAGAATGATGATGATCTGCAATTTCTCATGGGGAAAATAATCAGTACTAAACACTCTTTGTTTATAATACAAATACAGATTTTGGAATTCAAAATATATTTAATATCACTTAATGTCTGATATCAAAATCTGATATGATCTATGGCCTTTTTATTTCACTATGTCTCGTAACATTAGTCTTAGTACAGTTTTCTAATTTTACAGTATCTGTATACTGTACCCAAAGTGGGGGGGGGGAGTAGTTGGGTACTTTAGTACTAGTGAGCCAACCAAAATGAGCTGACTCATTTTATAGTTCACCAATAGAAAGGTTAACCAATCAGAAGGCTCAAAATATTCAATGCGATGTGTATAAACGCAGCCATGTTTTTCCGAATATTCATTGGCAGCCTCTGATATCGAAGACTGAAGAATTACAGAACAGCTGCAGGTGGTATTGGCGATATAGTCAGATCCAGTAGAGTATCTGACTCGTGGGTATTAATCTTTAACGTTGTTTTATTGAACAGATTGCGTACTGCGCTGTATTCGATATTGATAGACTTGGCGAACATGGTCAACATATACCTATGACTGGGATGAACTTTGTGTATGAACTAAGCTGTCTCTTTATTGCAGTATAACTCATTATCTTGGTTGTAGCACAGTTTTCTGATTTTACACTGTCAGTATACATATGACTGGTAACAATATCGTGTATAAACTAATTTCACAGTGTCTGTATACATATGACTGGTAACAATATCTTGTATAAACTAATTTCACAGTGTCTGTATACATATGACTGTGATCAAGATCTTGTATGATCTAAATTTTTCTTTATTGCAGTATAAATCACTACGATGGTCACGGCACAGTTTCTTGATTCACAGTGTCAGTATACATATGACTGGGATCAAGATATTGATTGAGCTAAGCTTTTTTATTGCTGTAAAACTTACAATCTTGAAGTCAACCCCCAGCGGTGACAGTCTGTTTCTTGCTTATACGGAATGGTCAGACCATTTACATACGCTCTATCCCTGATATTGAACACTTTAAGCCATAAATATAGCATAACTGAAACTATAGTTTCTCATATATATATATATATATATATATATATATATATATATATATATATATATATATTAAATAAAAGATAAGACAATTGTTGTTTCTGCAAGTGAAATTTCTCGCTAAGAGTTATATATTAAGAACATTTAATGTATCGTATTTGTTAGACTACTTATATAGTGGCATAAATAATTTATTCTATTTATATCTATGCGTAACTTTTATTTATCTGTTGTTTTTACGAAAGTGGTTGTAATTTTTGGAATTAGAGGAAAGCATTTTTGTAATGTTTATTTTGTTTATCTTTGAATAGTGGCTCATTAACACCGATTTTTTTAATCTATCATTAGTTGTATTCAAAGATTCTTTACAATATTTAGTATGAATTTTAATTCTTTACATTTTCTTATCTATTAATTGCAAAGTAACGTAATTTCAATTTTATTAAAAACGCTTTCCCAGTTATAACGTTATTTTGTTTCGTTTTTACTACTCGACAATTTGTTTTATTATTTATCTTTCAATTTCTTTTAAACAACAATAATAATAATAATAAAATTTTCTCTTATACTTTATAATAATTTATACTTTGTAGCAATATATTGTACACTGATGACAAACTGTTTACCCCGACATCTAGTATATGTTCTATGCCTGTAGGTGTCATTGGGTATAAATCGTACCTTTGTTACTCGGATGCTGTTCTTATTAAGATGGACGGGCAACACTAGTCTTCCCCCATCCCCTAAATCTCCACGCGCCAAATCCTGTAAACTGCTTCAGAAGGCGGGCTAAATCACGTGAAATTACCATCGAAAGGCGCTGCACTTTTCTGTGCACTGCTAGTACCGGAGTGGTATAACTCCCTGATAATAAAACCTGAGGGGTGTTGTTCCTCGTGTTCGTGGGAAATACTTGCACCAACTCCTTGTTATCAGCACTTCCAATAAGTGTGGCTGGTTCTACACAAGACTTCACCACTCTAAACAAATGTTTTGTGTGGATAGTCTGCGGTTCAGTTGTGCATTCCTTCTTTGGCATTCCACATGAGAAACAGGTCCACTGGCGACGGGGACAGGTACAGGATTAAAAACTAAACTGAAAGACACTCATGAGACGAAAATGACGGGAGAGTCCATCATATATATATATATATATACATATATATATATATATATATATATATATATATATATATATATATATATGGATTTGTATTTAGCTACATTTAGTATCCTGCAGGTTTTTCTTACATTCTATAAAGCCTTAGTAAATATAACTATGTAGTAATAACAAATTAATATCGATATTGTTATTTTATATATTTGCACAAAATATAATTATATTTGTATATAATTGTAGCTATACAATTACATATCTACATACATATTTACCTTTATAATTATTAATTAATGATACTTACCCAAATCCATGCAGGACTGAAAAAGTGTCTTTGCCTTTTTGACCGCCATATGTTCTCCATCTGTTGTGCTTTCCTGTAATAAATCTGTATATCTTCTTTCTTAGTAGAAACTCATCTCAAGATCGTAAAGGTTTTAAAATATTTGAAATAATATCCATGTATGCCCAGTGGAAATGTTAATTACTTTTATTGTACACAGCCAATTGGAATGCCAAGTTAATACATCACTTTAATGAGAAGCTATTCGAAACTTCTACACCATGCCTATTTACAAATATACAAATGGTTTGAAAATTACACAACAGAGACACATACTACCTCTCTCACTGTCTCTATTTCTCTCTCTCTCTCTCTCTCTCTCTCTCTCTCTCTCTCTCTCTCTCTCTCTCTCTGTGTATATACATATATATATATATATATATATATATATATATATTAATACATGTTTCGTTGAATAGTTTAAACATGTACTGTCTACTTATTTTCGATAAGATCCTTTTATACTCGCGGATAAGCTTTTTGGTGTCACTATTGAAGGACTGATGAAGACATTAATATGTCGAAAGTGCTTTGAAATAAAGAAATATGTATCAACACAGCGATTTTCTCTCGTCTTTCAATAATGGCATCAATAAACTTATCCGCAATTATGAAGGGATCTTTCAAAATAAGTAGAGAGAACTAATCTATTCAACGAAACATGTTTTAATGGAAACATGATACCTAAAAATACGCATATATATATATATATATATATATATATATATATATATATATATATATTATTACTATTATTATTATTTTATAAAATGTAACAAAAATATATTGAAATCGCTACACAATAGCTTTCGTGTTTCAGCACTATGCCGTACCTCTTTACTTGCTCTACTTTGTATTGAGCACCTTTTTAAAAGTAAACGCTTCGAACAGAAGAATTTATCTGTTCTTTTTCTCATTTGTGTATATATATTCAGCTGTTTCTCAGTCTATACAGACAGACATTTCATTTTATTTTTACGGATATATATAGACTTAGAAACAGCTGAATGGATTTCATCTAAACCGAGCATGTAGACAGGCTAAAGTAAAATGTAAAGTTGACCTATACTAACCTGAAGGTTATGAATGAGCAACAACATAGTCAAAGAATCTATTTCTAGAAGTAAAATATTCATTCACACATAAAAAATATATAGTGCTAAGGGAGGTAAATCAACATTTGACAGCGGTTACTTTCCTTAATCATTTTAATAATCTGTAATAATAAAATTCTGCCATTCTATTGAGGAAAAAATAGTTCCACATTACCTTTGTATGCATAAACAAATTATTAACTGAATTTGCATCTGAAATTTTCACTGAATAGTGTTCAATCTATATTAATAATATTCAGCATCGAATTAAGTGCAATGACAAGAGACTATATTGAAAAGTATATACTGTAATGTAAAATTCTTTTTTTCATTATAAGAATTCTGCGGAATTATTAATTTACCTATGTAAATAATCTGTGCATATTAATCCTTTGATTCCCGGACAAAAAAAAGAGGATTTCCTTTTAATATTTTATTTCAACCTTCGTTTATTCTCTACGAGTGAAGATAGACAAGTAATTCTTATCTTCATCAAACAACCACCACTATATCCCGTAGAATAACTTGAAACCTCTTCAATGAAAGTACCACTCCTGTTCATATTGATGGACAGATGGCATTCTTGTTTTTGTTTTTTTTTTTGTTTTCTCTACGGGTATACACCTATACAGAGACAAATGAAATTTCTTGAATACAGAATCAGGCGGGAGGGCTTAAAAAACCTAAGCCTCACAGGACATATTGAGAGCAAGAGAGATAGGGGAAGACATCAAGCCATCTACATAACGAGCTTGTGCGAATGGATGGCGGAACACGGAAAGAGAGATGCTTGGCAAAGAGAGATAAAAGGAACAAGAAGTTTTGGAGAAACATGACCGCCCATGTCCTGAAGGGACGCAGAAGAAGAAGCAGGAAGCTTTAAGTTGGGCAATATGTAAGACACATTCTAAGGCGAATGATAATACTTTTTTTTTTATACTTACTTGGTCCAGCGGGGAGGAGAGGTTGTTTAAATTGATATCAGCTCGCGCACCAAGGAGGGGACTGATGTCATTACCCGATGCCTGAAGCGTTTCCCAAAAAGGAAGCGGCAAGGGAGTAGCGCAGTTGTTGTACAGCTGAGTAAAATCACACCTTAAACTCTAATATTTTTTCACATTCTGTGCAAGTGGTAATATAAATGCTGTGTTTGCTTAATGTCAAAGTTTTCTGTTATTTTTGCATACGCATACACGGACGTACTACTGACTTTATTTATCTGATTCATTTTCAGGATTTTGACAGGGCTACACACACAAACTTTATATATTAGATATGAATAAGCTGCAAAATTTAAACACAGTGTAATTCATGAGTAAAAATACTATTTACACTATTTACATTGTTCAGACTATTATCCTAATCTTTGTTGTCATATTCACAACGTTTCGACCGTTGTACGCCCTGGCCTTCTTCAGGAGATTGGAATTTCGAACCGAACCCTTTATTTTGTCCACCGGAATAGATTGTTCTAGTTCCACGTGACATGCCTCTTCCGGATATCACAGTTTCAGTTATTTCCCTTTGGGGTCATCAAGGACACATGGACAAGTGGATAAAAGCGTTGGTTAAAGTAACCCAGTGAATTAACCAAAAGAGTTGTGAGTTCAATACCTGGCTACACCAGAGGTGAACAATAACTTGGAGAATTGAATTAAAAGTGAGATAAGTGAAAGTGAGAACTAGAACAATATACCCCGCTGGACGAAATAAAGGGTTCGGTTTGAAATTCCAATCTCCTGAAGAAGGCTGGAGCGTACAACGGCCTTGTGAATATGACAACAAAGATTAGGACAATAGCCCGAACAATGTAAATAGTGTAAATAGTTATAATACCTCATCTCAGAAAGATAGACAGTAATCAAAAACACTGTTAACTGTTTAAGGAAAATACTACGAAAGAAATCAATGTATTTCTTATCATACAATGCTTACCAATTATACGCTTATTCACGAGGTTTCGAACCTTTTTAAAAGTGCCAATGCTCTTCTCGTCGGGTGGAATTTGGTGGGTCTTAATCCACGAGCCACAGGCATGTGCATAAAAATCGTCACATGGATTGACCGAGGTGTTGATTGATTCCAGAATTTCCGATGCTATTTAAAATAAATAAAACCATATAAAAAAGCGAACACAATTACTATGGTGCGACGTGAATGCAATTAAATATTTTGCACTGCCGCTTCTCACAAAACAACTGATTCCGTTTCAATGACCTAATCGCTAAACGAACTGGTCGCTAATGAAAACTTTTACTTGACTACTATTCCAGCCGTACTACGCACGTAATGGCTTTGTTTCAACCAGCTTTAGATATAGATTTAATGTCACTTTCACACCACTTGTGACATTTCTTATTTTGAAATGTTTATACAGTACAGTATTGTACTGAATAGTAAACGTGACAACAAATTCGAACATTAGTTCTATATTCTGTACAGTGTATGTTGTAACCTAGGAAGGGTTACTGAATAAGGAATAACCAAAACGGAGGTTGGAAATGAAATGTTAATCTTTATAACATCAACAAAATACAATACTCGCCAGTAAGTTAAGCCACTGATAGTGGTGGACTACTAGTGTTGGACAGTAGTGGACAGCATATTAGCCCCTCTTACAATAGTGTCCAACGTATTTATGAGGGTTGGGACAAATACGTTGGACACTATTGTAAGAGGTCCAATATTTGTATTTTAATATTCATAGGTAAGATATATAATAGTGTACATTATTTCTGTTTGCATAGTGCAAATAAAATACAAGTCCATTTTTAACTTATGTTTCACTTTATTTATTCATTTTCTATTATTTTCATTCATTTTGAAGAAAGAGAAAGCAGGCACAGTCAAAGAATTCGTACAAGGACTGGATGAACTTTTTATGAAATTTTATAGCTGGTTGATAAGCGAGGAGTGGCTGTAATTTGAAATGCTTGTCCATTAAGAATAAAGGTATTTTTTTTTTTAAATGTTTATATGCAACTACTTATCGATAACAAACATCTTGCAGACTTGATGAGAATGAACGTCAAAATATCATGCATGGATAATATTGTTATTACAAATAAATTAAAATAAAATATAAAATAATAATAATAATAACAATGAAAATGAAAATTATAAATAAAATAAAATAAAATAAAACAATAACATAAAACGTTGTTTAAAATAAATTAAATAAAAATTAAAAATTACTCCTAGCATACAACAAAAAAACTGAAATGCGGACATCACATCAGAAGACGTTAAATTCAATCTCTTCGCCACGAAACTTAGTACGGGCAACACGTGTTCAATTTCTCTATGGTATGGCTCGTAATACTACGGAGTAAATTTCTCCCTTTTATCACATGTACTATAAAACAATTGTAACCTAAAAAAAATACACACAAAAATATAAATAAATTGTATGAAATTAACATATATTTCCTACTCGTTTCATTTTCTGTCAACTATCCGTGAACACGAAGCTAATTTCTGTTGCTATGATGTGAGTCAACATTTTGGTGACCGCCGACGTGAATAAGAAAAACAACCTATTCACCCACAATCAACAAAATAAAATAACATTTTATTTGTTAATTGCAAATTGATTAATTAAAAAAGTTTTTGCTATTGTTTTCCGTTTTATAGTCTTAAAAACAATAGTGCGTGTTATTTGAGTTCATAGACAATATCCAAAAAACGATTATCTGTTATTAATATCTAGAAATAAAACTCTAAAATAAGACATTATATAAGAATCAAACATGGACTATATTATAATTCATCAAATAGAAACCATTCAAATACGTCTAAGGACATTGTTACTAAATATTCAGGGGTTAAACGTAGGTTACTGGAAAATGTTTTTAGAGTATTGTTTTTTTATGTGGTTTTAAGATTCAAAAGGATCTTTGACTTTTTTTAGCGTGTGGTTCGATTTACAATATAAATATTGAGAGAACATTGTTATTATTATAAATAAAAATAAAATATAATAATAATGATGATGAAAATTATAAATAAATTAAAATAAAATTTAAACCATGTTTAAAATAAATAAAATAATACTAATAATAATAATAAAATTACTCCTAGCATGCAACAGGGACTGTTCATATCGAAAATACGGGCATCCCGTCAAAAGACATGAGATTCACTGTGACTGTCATGATGACAACACGTGTATAACTTCCCTCCGCGATAAGACATGTGATATTACGGAGTGATATAATATAATTTTATAATATGAACCTTATCACAATTGTAATGCAAAACACACGCACTAATACACGCAAATGCATAAATAAAATTGTATGAAATTGCCACACAATTTATCATGTTCTTTTTATTGTTATTATCTACGTTTTTTTGTTCGGAACACACGCCCAAACGGTGTAAGTGAATATACCTCGAAAACTTTATGGTGACCACTGACGTGCACAAGGAAAACATACGAAAGCCTCTACAATATAATGCTCAACCGGGTACATACTTTGTGACTATCAGATGAACTAAACATAATTCTTTATTATTTTATTTATCTTCGTTTCATTTATTGTTATTTTATTTATTTATTTACTTTCAAGTGAGACATCTTGATTGTTTCCTCAACACAAACCAAAAATGTGCATTAAAACCTATAAAAAATCCAATATCTATATATGTTCTTTATTTCTTTATGGTACGATAGAAAGAGAATTATGCGAGGGGTTGATTAAAAGTTTTATGACTGACCATGTTTCCAAAATATCAGGTTTTTTTTTGTTTTGTTTTTTTGCTTTTAAGGGTTTCTTGGTCGAATAGAATTTATCAGTACCACCTGGTATAATGCTATATATATATATATATATATATATATATATATATATATATATATATATATATATATATAAAGATTACTTAAATTTTAAATATCATTTTTTAAGTTTTTTAGCAAAAATTTTCAGTCATCAGAGGTATTGGTTTTGAATGCTATTTCCAATTATTTCTAAATCTTCAAAAAATTTGAAATACGGTTCAAAACCACATCCCTTGAAGATTGGAAATTTTACCAAGAAACATCGATGTCGGGATAAAAAGTGATATTTAAAAAGTTAAGTAATCTTTATATATAATATCATTAACGCTCTATTTGTAATTTTATTTTAATATTTTTAATACTGAACATTATATAAAAATATCTGCTGTTTCTTAAATCTTAAAACTTCAGTAGTTCCTCGGAGATAAATAGTAAAAATGTGGAAACAGAGATCAGTACTTCTTTGTGACAGGAGTTAACCATTAGCCAATTAGGGTTTACTGAGATGTGGTTAACGTCCCTGTGCTGTAAGTGAAGCTATGATTCTCCTCATATTAGATGGGAGAAGTTGCTGGGCAAAAATCTTTTTGGCCTTGGCCCACATACATAAGTAGTTGTATCGTGTTCCCCATGTTAAAACGATTTTGTGTCACAACCAGCCTTAGTGGGGACGCTGGGTAAATATACCTGGAAGTTTCAAGGCTTAGATGTGACACATGTTCTGATGATCGCTGAAGGCGTGAAACCGCCACTCAGTTTAACATGTTGATTTCTATGTCCACTCTGTTTACATTACATGCACCTCGATATTGAATACTCTTTCCACAGAAATATAGCAAATTTTAAATACATAAATTTTGTGTACATATATAAATCTATCTATCTATCTCTATCTCTATCTCTCTCTATATATATATGTATATATATATGTGTGTGTGTGTGTGTGTGTGTGTATGTGTTTGTGTGTGTGAACTACAAATGTACACGTAATGGTTGTCGCTAAGATAAAAAGATGAAACTACAGTTGAAATATTCAAACAATACTTTTTTTTTAAAAAAGTGATTAACTTACCAGCCGACAAACAGTGACTTTTAAAACAGTAATTTGCTGTGTCTGAAAATAAATAAATAAAATTAGATTTTTTTCATGAAACCGAACATGAAGGTGCAGCTTTATGCGACGATATGACATGCTTACGCTATATATATATATATATATATATATATATATATATATATATATATATATATATATATATATATATTTAATGAACAACAGACATTTTTAAGGTACCATTACAATAATTTATTTCACCAAAATTGTTGGAAGTGTTACCTGATGATCTGAAATCCTTTTAAAATGATTTTGGTGAAATAAATTATTATAATGGTACCTTAAAGTGTCTGTTGTTCATTAAATATTAGCTCTGTTCTTCACATTGAGCTCTCAGGATTTCATCCTCCTTGGATTTACCAATTCGGTTTACCAAATTCTTCATAACTTAACTATATATATATATATATATATAGGCATCATAGCTTCATTCAAGCATGTTTGATTGAATAATTTGTACATATTATGCCTATTTATTTTATTTTAATCCTCTCGAATTCTCTGGTCGACTTCTTAATGCTGATATTAAATTCATTAAGGAAGGCACCGTAGTTTTTTCATTTCTTTTATTTTCCCAAGTACTTTCAATCTCATCGGAGATCATCTTCATACGTGTGTGTGTGTGTGTGTGTGTGTGTGTGTGTGTGTGTGTGTGTGTGTGTGCGTTCAGCTGTCTTGATAAACGAGTAGTGGTATATCCGTATAACTATTTATATAAATTTATTTTCCTTTGTAACACAGTTCCCTATGACGCATTTACAAATAATGTTAGTTTTGTAAGGTTTTGATTTCGCCGGTAAGATGCTATTGCTGATAATAAAGTTGGCTGTTTTAAAGATTTTTATTTTTATTTTTTACTCCTTGGTTTTCACCTGCATGCTCGATCGCTAAAGGCCACAGGAATCACTTCTTCCGGCTGTGCCAGAGCGACAGATCTGATTATAACAGACGTCTCTTTGTCACTGCTCGTAATGATTTTAATTGTGTCCTCAAAGAAGCGAAGTTACTGTATGCTGATAGAATGAAACAACGGTTCTAGAAATTATTGGCGGCTCTGCAAAAATGTGCTGAACAACAACAAATCTTCTCTTCAATCAATTTGAACATCTACAACAGACAAGGTTGAGTGCTTTGCCCGGAAGTCCTCTTCCAACTCCACACTTTACTCATCTGAAGAACTCATGCCCCCACCCCCACCAGAACAGAAGCTGTACTGAGTGATATGAGCATAATCCCGTCACTGGTTTTAGATATCATTTCGAAACTAGACATCCACAAGTCAAGGCATTTTGTCGGGATCCCTGCAGTCGTTCTAAAGAAATGTGCTGCTGAGCTTGCAAACTAAACTCTACAGCAATTGCCTTACTTCTTCCTGCTTTCCAGGTTGTTGGAAGTTCTATTCTGTAGTTCCTGTTTTCATGAACTCTGGAGAACCCTCTGCCTCCTTAAATTATCTCCCTATAAGTCTCTTAGCGGTTTTCAAGTACCCGAGGCTATAATGAATGCGGAAGTGGATAAGCATCTTACATCTCACGACAAACAATATAGCATCCGTTTCGCCACACTGATGTGTTAACGGCCATCACTGAATTTGTATATCAAACTCTAGTTAAGAACGGAGAAGCTCGGGTTGTGGCTTTAGATATCTCGAAGGTGTTCGTCAGGGTTTAGAATGCTGGTATTCCACGCAAGCCCCAGAGCAACGGCGTACAGGACGAATACTTGGTTTAAACATTAAACACCAGAAGAGCAAAATACTACCTCTTCTTGGCCTCTCGTTTTCCACTGACATGAAATGGAGCGACTATATCGAATCAATAGCTACATCTACTGTGTTATATAGGAATAAAGTGTTTCTACCGACTCTTGAGTTTGAACATAGATCGCCAGTGAACAAACACAGGTGATCCCATTATTGAATTAAGTAGACCGCGTGACCATAGAGGAAATGCATATATGGAAGGTAGCGTAACGTCTAACTGATCGCCATTACTATTCGGATCTCTATTTCTATTCTATTCTCTATTACTATACGGACCGCTATTCGCTCCTCTATTCACTATAGTATTCATCTATTCAGAACACTATACGGTGGTTACTTTTCGAGCGCGTATTATCGAGCAAGTACTTTTAGTGCGAGTGTTATTCGAAGGTGTGTGACACCAGTATTGTTCAAAGGCGTACTATAGTTGTATCTGCGATTACAAAGTCTCTACTAAAACGAGGATTACGAAATTGACAACGAGTATACAAAGGTGGCAACGAGTATTCGTTGACATTACAAAGGTGGCAACGAGTGTTCGTTGACATAACAAAATACTGCAAGGAATCTTGGGTTACTATGTCATACCAGAGATTTTTTTCTCGTCAGAATCCATCTTGCATATTTACAAATTTATCATTCGTCTGTGCATTGAATATTGTTACTATATCTGTTCTGGCGCTACTGCTATTCATCTCGAGGTTGATGACAAAATCCAAAGAAGGATATGTAATGTAATCGATCCTGACCAGGCAACTCAACTTCAGTCGCTTTCTCACCGACGTGATGTGACTTTCCTCTGTCTTTTCTATAAATATTTTCATGGGAACTGCTCTGGCGAGCTTTTTTCCCTGGTGCCCAGAATACATGAATTTAAGCTTACTACTAGATTGGCATCTAGGTCCCATCCTTTTACTGTTAAAATAGTTAAATGCAACCACCACTTCTACCCCAACACTTTCTTTTCTCACACTTCCCACCTGTGGAACTCGCTTCCGTTTATTTGCTTCCCTACAATCTTCAAAAGTTTAAATGCAACGTCAATCGCCATCTTCTATCTTCTTGAACCCCGTTCGTCTTTTGTCCTTTCCTCAATCCTCCCTACTCACCGTCTTCTATTTCACTTTGACTTTCACTCCCTGAAACCCCCTGCGTACAAGTCATATTACCGCATTGTCTGGGCTGAGATGATTGAAAAAATATTAACTTGATATTTTTAGCTTATTTGGCTAGATTGATCAGTTTTTATAATATTTCTCAGAGAGAATTCCTTCTGTTTGTCAGTTCTGAGCATTTGATTCGATAAAATCTTATATATCTATAATTCTCAAAATGTGTGTGTGTGTGTGTGTGTGTGTGTGTGATCGGATGTTGTTCATGCATTTCCACAGTTTTCATCCGATTTCGATGAAATTTTTTTTGTTTGATAGATAATTCTTATTGTCGGTTTTGAGTCCAAATTGTTGGCGACAATGGCTCTCCACTACTTCCTGTCCATTATAACTCTCAGCAACGTTTTACTATCTGTTCTTGGATATATATCTTTCATAAAAACTTTAATAAAATTAAATAGTTTAAATTAGTACAATAATATTATTTATTATTAGACAGTTCCCTTTTCAGGTCCCACTTCAAATTGTTACACCCCCACCCCATTTGGGGATGTGCCTCAGTTGCACCCGATTGTTATTAATAATGATTTTTGGGCGGGCTGAGTTTAAACTTAAACTGCTCCAATTGAACGGCAAAATTTCCCAGTAATGAAAGACCCGGTCAAAGACGGGTTATGCTGCTAGTATATTAATATTTGTGCTATACATGCGAACTGCGTTATTAATGCTTAGTTTTGAAAGAGATAATTTGATAACTATAATGTAGTTTGGGAAACTGTTGTTAACTATTATTTTACATTATTGAGTTATAGCTTGCGGGGGTATGAGGCCAGATGTACTCTCGTTCTAATGGGTTTTTTTTTATTTATAACCGCTAATTTGTATTTCAGTGGACGTGTGTGCGTGTGTTCCATTGACCTGAAAAGGCATTCTTCCTTGTAGAGAAGGTAGTTTTAAACTCCTCTTCCGAAACTCCACACGATAATCAGTCGTTTCAAAACGAATATGAAAGGTGTCGTGAAGCAGGACTCCGTGTTTGGCCTCACCCTATTCGGCATATCCTTTGCAATCATGGTGAATTGTGCATTTTTTAATAATTTTGTTTACCCATGATAATGACCGAGAGACATTTCAGGTAGAGCGTTACTGAATGAAGCTGTTGTAAAAGGAGGGATTAAGAAGTGCGTATTATGTAGATATGTAGTGTAGATAACGGTTGAACCTAGACATAGAGGTTCATCGTAGGGATCAGATTCAAAACTAGGACTACTACTTCTTTTATCTGCCGTGTCCCTTCAGGGCGTAAGCGCTCATGGCTCTTCACTTACCCCTATCTCTTGTAGCACTCAATAAGTTTTGTCCCTTTGCTACTTCTCACAGACCTTGTTCTGTCATCTACTTGCTTAAGCCCGCTAGGTATGTCACGCATTGCTTTCCCTTGTCTCTCTCTCCCTCTATTCGCCCTGTGAGCATCAGATTCTCGAAGACTTCCTTTCTCTCTACCTGTGCCAGAAAGTTCAGCTACCTCTTCCTGATGTTAAGTATAAGCTTTCTCTTTGTTTGCATCCTCTCTAAAACCTCATTGTTTCTCACACGCTCGGTCCATGATATCCTTAGCATCCTTCTGTAGAACCATACCTCTGTTGTCTTGAGTCTATTCTTTATCTTTGAAGAGACCGTCCAACATTCGCTGCCGTAAAGGAGGATAGGTATCACGTAGCAGTCCAGTACTCTTTTCTATGTTGCCAACAAAATCCTCTTATCTCGTAATACTCGTAAAATAGCTTTTAGAATGTGTCTTTAACCATCCCAATACCTCCTTGGATCTCAGCGTCGCACTTGCCGTCCTCTGTCAGAACATTTCCCAGATATTTAAATTTCCGCACGTGCTTGATTTTAGTGTCCCCGACCTGTAAGTCGCTTTTTAGGCTCATCCTTTTATTGATGACCATGTATTCTGTCTTCTTGTAGTTTATGCTTAGTCTCTTCTTCTCGCTCTCCTTCGCTACCTTTTGTAGAAGGTTTTGTAATTTCTTTTCCGTGTCTGCTATCAGCATTGTGTCATCTGTATATCTTATGTTGTTAAGATTGTGGCCTCCAATGATGAATCCAGATAGGATTTCCAATTCTCTCAGAATTGCCTCGATATATAGGCTGAATAAGTCCGGTGAGAAGACACATCCTTGCCTTATGCCTCTTTCTATTTTTGTATATCTGCTGAACTCATTCTCTATCCGCGTGCAGACTGTTTTCTGCCAGTATAGGTTCTTGATTATTCTAATATCTTTCCCAAATATATCAAGGTTGCTGAGCGGTTCCAAAAGATCTTTGTGGCGTACTTTATCGAAAGCCTTTGCGTAATCTATAAAACACAGGTGCACGTCCTTCTGCTCTTTCTGATAACATTCTGAGTATAAATTCCTTGTGTCTTTAACGAACCCGCACTGTTCTTGTCCTATCTCTGGCTTGATTCTGCTGCGTTCTCTATTCATCAAAGTTCGGATGATGAGTTGTGTTATGTGGCTCATTAGACTGATTGTTCGGTGGAGTTCACATTCATTTGCACCTAGTTTCTTAGGACTACTACAACTGTAAAAACTTCACCCTCCCGAAATTTATAGACAAATCATAGATGCATGCTGTGATTTCTCCCTAGCTAATAAGATAGATTACTTCTCAGTTTCATCCACCATATTTCTGTTCTCTCTTGTCTTGAAGTGAAAACGCTGCGATCACTTGTCCGTACCCCTTTCATGTGTTAACACCGTTTTTAGGGGGTTTTTTTTTAACCTTTTTGCCTCATTTCTGTTGTTTTGCCTACTTTTAATCTTGCATGCATTGTTTCTTTAATATTACTGTTACTCTACTTTTTCTTTCTCTTGTCATTGTTTATTGAAAACTTTGTCAATTCTGTTTGTTGAGCATTTCTGCCAATTACATTTAACCATAGCCAATTACTCGACAAATTTTTTTTAAATAGAGAAAATTTTGAATTGATTTTGAATTGATATAAAATGGAAATATTCGGTTTTTCCTTAAAGTTAAAAAAGATGGCGAATACGTGAGAGGCAGTTTGGATATTTGCGTTTGCGTGATAGATTTCCGTTTGTCTTTTATAAAGTTGTTTTAATAAACGTTACCTTTTATGGTTGTCTTCTCTGGCTTCGGTATAGCAAGAACGATAACTGCAATAAGCAATCCGAGCACGAGCACAGACAGGCCAGCAATAACCACCAAAAGAGGTTTCTTTGTTGCACCAAAACTGTAAAAGAAACGAATAAAAAATGGCGAAGATTTTTCTCTGATATCATTCAACCATCATAGAGACCCATTCTCTTAGAAATATTTGCATAAATAAAGAAAAATGGTTTCTATATTATACATATGTTTGTGCACGACTTTGTTTCCATGCATTAGTCAAGTTTCAACAATGGAATCCCATCCTCATCGCCATTGTTGAAACTTGACTAATGCATCGAATAATAATACAACACAAAATGTACTTAGAACAAAATGTATTGAAACAAGAAAGTGTACACAATATTTACATATAGTCTTTTATATATTCCTGGGAAGACCGTTCCTGGAGAATGTGTTGACTTAGTCGCAGTCAGGCAGGTTCTCTGGATTGAATCTCTTGATTCCTCCCCTTTCTTCCCGGTACCAACTATATTTATATGGTCGGTACTCCACTATGCAAATTAGGTGGATCCTACCACAACAGATTTGTAATATAGAATCCTAAGCTAAATAGAATATGTTAATAGGCTGATGCAGAACCCTAGGCTAAACAGAATTTTAATATAGAATTGGTAAAAGAATTGATAAAAGAACTGATTACGGAGAAAAAACACAGGTTAATGGTAAATATAGATTTTTTCCTCAACGATAGCACAATTCTGTGTTTCATGCACAAAGCAATCTTCAGGTTCTGATGGGAAAACTTCAAAAGTATCCGACAATTGTTTTTCAAACAGTACCAGACGAATTTTTAAACAGTACCTGACGAAGTTTACAAACAGTACCTGACGAAGTTTACAAACAGTAACTGACGGTTACGTTCTGCTTGAAGCTGTGCTACCGCTGAGGAAAAAAATTATATGTATTATTAATATTAAATTATAACTCTGTTATTATACATCGAAATCTATTTTATTAGTACCAGCACTCAATGAGTGATATTTTAACACCCTTGAACAGGAAAAAATATTTTTCCACAGATTAGAATCTGTTGAAGTTCTAGTTGAACTCCATAAAACGAAATTAATAGAGATTCATAATTTTGATTTCGTAGAATATCATACGAAATTCAAAGGTGATAATATGGATCATTTTTAGATCTTGGATCATGTCTGATCTCCTCACCAAAAGACAGAATTTGTAATTGCAATGACGTGAAAAGTGAATATCATCTGGGCATCAAAAAGGGAAATGAATCGGAAAGTGCTACTCTTTATGTCAGCAGTAGAAAGCAGTTTTCTTATATAGGTCAAGCAATTAGACATTAACAAAATCACTGACAAAAAAAAAGCTAGATGGTACGTACACTAGACACATCGCTATAGTGATTTACTAGCTTGGTTGTGGTACAAGGCCTATGGGGCACCCAGTGAGGATCGAACTCACTACTCATTCGTAGTTGTTCTAGTGAGACAAGAGACATTGTTATATGTCGGCTGAAACCAAAATATGCTCAATGAAGAACGAAATGAAAACCAGCCAAAGATTAACAGACACAAAGCTAGTACGATTGTGTAACAATTTATACTGTGAGAGCCAAATCATTGAGGAAGATCAAGAGGTTGGTCAGCAAGAACCTTAATTGAACAACGCATAGACGACACTGGAATCGGGTATAAATGAGCAGCGTTATGGATGATAGAAATGTTTGAAAAAATGACGTTTGAAGATAGAAAAGAATTGAATATGCAATGCGACAAAGAGAATGAGACGAAATCAAAACGCACAGCCGTGCATCAATGTTTTATTTCTTATATAATAAAGTAAGCCTTGCCTCTTATCGTTAAGCAATGTTAAACTTGGTCACTCCTTAAGTGGATGACTGGAAGCAAATTTTGGCTTTTTCTCAGAAAAGCGGAAAAATACTAAATAAAACAATTATTCTTATCATTAAGCAACGTTAAACCTGGTAACTCCTTAAAAGGGTGACTATAAGCAATTTTTGACTTTCTTTTACATAAGTGGAAAAATACTAAATAAAACAATTATTCTCTTTTTTAAGCAACGTTAAACCTAGTCACTCCTTAAATGGGTGACTGGAAGCAATTTTTGGCCTTCTTTTAGAAAAGCGGAAAAATACTAAATAAAACAATTATTCTCATCGTCAAGCAATGTTAAACATGTTCACTCCTTAAATGGGTAACTGGAAGCAATTTTGGCCCTCTTTTAGAAAAACGGAAAAATACTAAATAAAACAATTATTCTCATCGTTAAGCAACATTTAACCTGTTCACTCTTTAAATGGGTAACTGGAAGCAATTTTGGCCTTCTTTTAGAAAAGCAGAAAAAAAAACTAAATAAAATAAGTGTTCTCATCGTTAAGCAACGTTAAACCTGGTAACTTCTTAAATGGGTTATCAGGCACTGTAAGCAATTTTTGACTTTCTTTTACATAAGCGGAAAAATACTAAATAAAACAATTACTCTCATCGTTAAGCAATGTTAAACCTGTCAAAATATAATAAATAAAACAGTAACTCTCATCGAGAAACAACGTCAGACATTATCAATACTTAAATGGTGGATCAGGTACAGTAAGCAGCTTATCACCTTATCAGAATAAGCAAATATTACTGAGAGACAAAGATAAATCTGTTCTCAATACCTTCAAGTTTATCACGAGTTGCAATTGTCATTAGCTTCCCTGATTCTATTAGTCTTAGATAAGTGAGCTTCCCACGAATAAATATTTCAAACACATGCTTCTAATTGTTCATTATCAATAGTGTTCCAATTAAGAGAGATAATTCAAATCGATATGTCTTATTGCACAGGACTGATTAAGATTTAGCTTATTTAAATGAATCCACTATACCGTAGTAATATCCCTATATCTCACGCGAGAGAGCGAGGTACGATATTTCCGCCAGAGTTGCAATATTTTTTAGTGTCTCGGCCTGGGATAATAGTTACCAATTAACGAGTTTCCTCATCACTGAGTGCTCCATACTTGTGGATTCAGGCCAAAATAAAGTTCCGCTTGTTGAATAACAACATTTCAAATAATGAGGGTAAAAATTCTACACTAATAGTATCCGATGTAATAGTTACTTAAATGAACTATTATTATTTTTCTAAAGAGTATTTCTATCACATTATTTATTTTACTTTTTATCAGAACTCTCAAATTGTCACTATATACAATAATTACACCCTTGTGCAAATTAATTGAAACAAAATGAATAAGTCCGTTATTATTTACTTTTTTCGTATTTTTCGAATAAAACATGACACAGTGCACATGTTAGTGCACTTTGTATGTCAATTCCATGAAGTCTTTCCTTGCAGATTAACCACAGATTGTCGATTGAATTTACATCAGGAATGTTTCCGTGCCAGACTATAGTACTTTCATTTGCTCATTGGTAAGGCTTGCCAGTGTGTTCGTGCAGCGTTGCAATCTTCGTATACTTCCTTGGAGTAACGTACATCGCAGACAATAGCCATAGGAGAACTAATCGACAGTCAAGACAATAGTGTCTAGGTGTGATAAAAATCTGATGCAAATCACGGATAATGCAATATTTTTCAATGCCAAACAAATTTCATCATACACTCCGAAAACAGACTCATATTACTGCACACCACTGCAAATGACCTAATCTGAGAAAAAAAAAATCGATTACACCCTGTCCCACCAGTGAGTCTAAAACTGACCGTATGGTAAAAGAAAGGAAACTAAAGCGGTTGTTTCAATTAATTTGCACAAGGGTGTAAGTGAGATGCACCTGGCTGCTATTTCTACGTGTATAATATGTTTCTGTCAACCAGTTTCTTTTTGCACCAATTCTAATCTATTTCTAATTTATTTGCAAATGTTCATAAAGTACTGAACAGCAAACATGATAAACAAATTCAAAAATCAATTTTATATACTGTACATTGATTCTGGTAGCATAGTACCGGTAAATTTTGGATTTAAATCAAGTGTGTTTTCGGGCCAGTCTCTTATACTTTGATTTGCTCACTGGTAAGACTTGCCAGCGTGTTCGTGCATAGTTACAATTTTCGGAGGCTTCCTTGGAGTAACGTCCATCGCAAACAATGGCCGTAGGACAACTCATCGACACTCGAAACAATAGTGACTGAGCGTGATGAAAATCTGATGCATCGTCATCATACACCCAAAACAGATTCATATTACTCCACACCACTGCAAATGACATAATCTGAGGAAAAATAGAAATCGATTACACCCCGTCACTCCAGTGGATCTAACACTGACCGTATGGTGAAAGAAAGGAAACTAAAACGGTTGTTTCAATTAATTTGAACAAGGGTGGACATGCGGACTATTTTCCTCATTATTGTTGTGATTATCATAAAGAATTGGATAGAAAACAGACTAATTCCAGATCAGGAATACAGCGGAAAAAATGAGATGAAAAACAGAATTAGTCCAGATCATGAATACAATATAAACACTTCAGGCAACGAAAAATATGATTTAAAACAATAATGACTGCCACAACACAACTAACTACAACCGCAGCAAAGATTTACTCTAATCGGTAAGCAACGTTAAACATGATCCCTGATTAAATGAGTGATCAGGTATTGTAAACCATACAGAGGAAAATGTTTAGGAGGGATCTCGTATATACATCTCAAACATTTTTCACTTGTTCGTTCTCCATTTTGGATACGGTCCGTATTTTATAATGCTTTCTCACAATTAATTAGCAAGATGCATCAAATGTAATTTCGTTTTTACAGACCTTTCCATTTATTTCATACGCACATCTGAAGAATATCTATGGTGACAATATTATTATTATTATTATTATTTGTTATTGTTGTTGTCGCACATTAACGTGGTCAATGAAAATTCTATTTTTGAAACATGGTGTCAACATGAATGCTCAAAGCTCAAGAACTTTACGAAGAATCCTCTCAGAACCAATGATGGCAGTTTCCTGCAGGTTTTCAAGTGCACCCATTATTACAGGAATTATTTCAACTGTATTTTTCCATAACTATTTCAACTTGCGAATCAGCTCCTGTTTTATCTTTCAATCTTTTCAGTTTCTTTGGAGTCCGCTCTTTTATCAGATTGAACAGCAAAGTCAATAATTTAACACTTGTTAATCTCCTTATCTATAACAATAAGGTCGAGTATTCGTATTTCAATGATAATTTGTTTGAACAGAGAAATTTCATAATATCTCGTGATTGTCATTTTCTGTCACTGCCTCTGACAGATATTCATATTAGTCCTCTTTTATATTGAAAATTAATTTGTGGCATATTTTCCAACTGAGTTTCAATTGTTTTTTTTTTTTTTTTTTTTTTTTGTTTCAGATGTTGCGATGGCCTGTACAGTATTGATACTCTGTCAATTTGGGGGCGTTATTCTAAACAGGGCATCAACGCTACTCGCGGCATTCGGGATGGGAAAACAGTAAAACCTATGTCTGACCGTGCTGTCTGCAACTGGTTTAACAAATCTATGGTTGAAAGTGGATAGTCACGTGTTGTTGATTATTATGCTTGAAAACGCAAGGTAGAACAGAACTTGACCATCAATACTTTGGAAATTTCAAACGAGCTAAGATCCTTGAAAGATATCGTATGTAGAGAATCAGTGTTGCACTATCGTTTGTAACATCTGCAAACGATTATACAAGATTGATTCTGGGCTGAAGAGTTATATACGTACAGAGTAATCAATGAAAACATAGGGATCTTCTGAAAGAGAATGAAATCATGTGAACGTAAAACGTACCTATTTGATTCTTCTCCCATGAAATGAATTTCTAAAAGATGGGGCGACCGTAACTCTTCACAACCTCAAATGTTTCTCTTTTAGCTATCCAAACTAATCCCTCTTCATTTACCCAAGATGCTTTCTTCTGTTTCTCTTGTGATCAATATATCCTCTCAGTGTTAAATTCTCTAACCTTTCCTTCCTCTTTATGTGCTTTAAAAATTTAAACTCTTTCTAATTCCAAGTGTACTTGTCCTTTTTGTTTCCATTCACGAGTTAACAAAACATTCACAGACAAAATAAATATTAATTTATTGTGTCGACTAAATATTTTATTAAAACGGTTAATCAACTTTTATTTATTTTTAAAGCGGATTCTTAGACGTATTTTCTTCTGTAAGAAAAAGGGTTGAGATATATTGATTTTTTTTTAATACTCCGACCTGCACGATGATGAGTGATGTCGCATACGACTTTCTTCAAGAAAAAGGTTGCCGATGCCTGTCTTAAACGGTAGCATCATCAATTGATGCTTCATTGGAGATCAGCTTATATCATCAATTGATAATTGCAATTTTATCCAAACTACGGCCATCCTTCAATCATGAGTTGAATCTAAATGTAGTAGCAGCTACTGGGATTCTTGGGATTACGTCATTTTCAAGAGTATTTATTTGCTATTAAATCTGGAAGAACAAACCAAAGAAAGTGCTATATATACACGTATAGTTCTTGAATAAAAAAGAGGCCAAAAATGTCGACAGTTTGATTCAAAAATACTTCCTTGTGCACAGAATAATTCAAGGGGAATCATATTGTTTAAATATTAAATTTAGGAGTTCAAATACCTTTTTTTTTAGCTTTACAATCTAAAAAGTTAAAATATAATTTTCATGATTTTTGTATAATCGAAGCGAAAATAAACATAAAAAGTCTCTTTTAAAAATCTATTTTCTCATTTTTTTTTCTTCGTTTGGCGTTAACGTTCGTACAACCTTTTCCGCCGTTTAAGAGTTAATATCGAAAAACAAATATTGACTATCAACAGCTTCTTAAGTGATTTTATCAAAAATGCAGATAAATGTTTCATGCAAACCCTTCAACTCGCGTTGTTGAAAGGAGATGCAACAAGATCAAAAAACTGTTTCTTTTCTACAATATGATCTATATATAAAAAACAGAAGATGGCTGTGTGTCTGTCTGTGTGTGTACGTTCGTTGTACATTTGCACATTTTTCAACCGATCTCGCTCATACTTGACACACTAATAGTTTATACTCCAAGTCTGGTCAAGACCAACTTTATTTTTTCTGGACCCACCGCATATAAGGAAAAACCGCGAAAAACTGTTTAGAAAACCAGTTGTGTTCTTTTTTTTCTTTTTCTTTTTTTTTTTTTGCCTATAACTCCCTGATTTTTAAAGCGATTTTCTACAAATTTGACACGATCGTTACTAATGATACAACAATTGTTTCGATTTCAATTTTTAAGGCCATTCGCGTTAATCGCGAAATATCGCAAATAACTGCGTAAAATTCAGGTTTTTGCCATTAACTTCCGCAGTTTCCAACCGATTCGCTCCAGATTTTTCACGAATATTATTTATGTTTTACTACGCTGACGCTCTGGAACTGTATGTCAGCGAAACCGAACCAAAGTTGCTTAAGGACCAGCAGTTGGCTTACAATATCATTTTCGACTCCGTTCGCCTTCGGAAACGTGGTTTGTTCTTCTTGGATGCACCTGGTGCGACAGGTAAAACATTTTTAACGAAGCTTCTACTTGCAAAAGTACGGAAAATGAAGGGGATCGCCTTGGCTGTGGCATTCTCTGAAATTGCTGCAACCTTTCTGCCCGGTGATAGGACAACGCACTTCTCCTGTAAGCTGCCAATTTGTCCGATTCAACGACCTGCAACATCAGCAACAGTTCTGACGTCCTGAAAAAGTGTGAGCTCATTGTGTGGGATAAATGCACGATGACCCTCAAAGCAAGACTCCGAGCAACGTCGGGTATCTCTGCTAGTTTTAAATATAATCTCTTTATAAGTATTCTCAATCAGACAGGAATATATCACTCCCTTGAAATGATTGTAGATATTCTATTCATAGACGTTAATAGAATTTTTTCATTAATTTTGACTGGTATTTACTTTCAGCTTAATTTTTATTGGATTTTTATTGTAACTTTTACTGGGTCTAACGATCTACGGTAATGAATAGACAAGCCAGTTTACGAAAT